TAAAACAAAAAGCTGGTTCTTTGAAAAAATAAAATTGATAGACCTTTGGCAAGATGAATTAAGAAGAGAGGAAACCCAAATTAACAAGATCAGGGATGCCATGGGAAAAAAATCACAACAAATATCCAAGATATCCAAACAATTATAAAGAACTATTTTCAAAAGTTATACTCTCTAAAGAAAGAAAACCTAGCAGAAATGGATGCATTTTTAGAGAAATACAAGTTGCCCAAACTGAGCAAAGAAGAAGTAAATCAATTAAATAAGCCAATATCTTACAACGAGATACAGGAAGCAATCAGAAGTCTTCCAACAAGGAAAAGCCCAGGACCAGATGGATTCACAACAGAATTCTATCAGACCTTTAAAGAAGAACTAATACCCATACTCCTCAAGCTCTTCAGAGAAGCAGAGAAGGAGAGAGCTATCCCAAACTCATTCTACGATGCCAATATCACACTCATCCCCAAACCAAGCAAAGACCCAATAAAAAAAGAGAACTACAGACCAATCTCCTTGATGAACACAGATGCAAAGATCCTTAACAAAATTCTAGCTAACAGAATCCAGAAACACACAAAAAAATCATACACTATGACCAAGTAGGCTTCATCCCAGAGATGCAGGGATGGTTTAACATACGTGAGTCAATAAATGTAATCCAACACATCAACAGAGCCAAGGTCAAGAATCACATGATTATCTCCACATATGCAGAAAAGGCTTTTGATAAAATACAACATTCATTCATGTTAAAAGCTCTGGAGAAAATAGGAATAGAAGGAACATTCCTTAAAACAATAAAAGCCATATGCGACAGACCAATAGCCAATATTATACTTAATGGGGAAAAACTACAACCAATTCTCCTAAAATCAGGAACAAGGCAAGGATGCCCACTGTCTCCACTCCTCTTCAATATAGTCCTGAGAGCTTAGCCAGGGAAATAAGGCAAGAAAAAGACATTAAAGGGAACTGCATAGGGAAAGAAGAAGTTAAACTATCCCTTTTTGCAGATGACATGATACTATACCTTCATGATCCCCAAAACTCCATCCCCAAACTCTTAGAAATTATAAATCACTTCGGCAAAGTAGCAGGATACAAAATCAACCCACAAAAATCAGTCGCCTTCCTGTACACTGACAATGTACAAGCAGAGAGGGAAATAAAGGAAGCAACCACATTCACAATACCCCCCCCCAAAAATAAAATATTTAGGAATTAACCTAACCAAGATATAAAAGAACTATTTAATGAAAACTATAAAAACTTAAAGAAAGAAATTACAGAGGACACCAGGAAATGCAAAGACCTTCCATGCTCTTGGATAGGCAGACTTAATATAGTAAAAATGGCAATACTGCCAAAATTAATATACAAATTCAATGCAATTCCTATTAAAATTCCAATGACGTACATTTCTTTTTCTTTCTTTTTTTTGGGGGGGGTCTGGTCCTAGGGCCTGAACTCTGGGCCTGGGCACTGTCCCTCAGCACTTCAGCTCAAGGCCAGCGCTCTACCACTTGAGCCACAGCGCCACTTCTGGCTTTTTTCTTTTTGCTTATGTGGTGCTAAGAAATCGAACCCAGTGCCTCATGCATGCAAGGCAAGCGCTCTATCACTGAGCCACATTCCCAGCCCCACCAATGACGTACATTTCTGAAATACAGAAAACAGTCCAAAAATTCATATGAAACAACAAAAGACCTAGAATAGCCAAAACAACTCTAGGCAAAAAAGACAACATGGGAGGGATCTTGATGCCGGACTTCAAACTCTACAATAGAGCCATAATAACAAAGACAGCATGGTACTGGCACAAAAACAGACCCGAAGACCAATGGAATAGAATAGAAGATCCAGAAATAAAACCACGCGCCTACAGTCAGTGGAAATTTGACAAAGGAGCCAAAGACATACAGTGGAAAAAACACAGCCTGAACTACTGGGGCTGGGAAAACTGGGCGGCCACATGCGGAAAACTAAAAGTGGACCCCAACCTATCACCATGCACCAACATCAACTCAAAATGGATGAAAGACCTTAACATCAAACCTGAATCTCTGAAAGTACTGCAAGACAGAGTAGGAGAGACACTTGAACTTATAGGCACAGACAGGAACTTTCTGAACAGAGTCCTAGGGTCACAACAAATTGAAGAGAGACGACAAATGGAACTACCTTAAAATAAAAAGTTTTTGCACAGCTAAAGCTAGAACAACCAGGCTAGAAAGACAACCAACTAACTGGGAAAAAATATTTACCAGCAATATATCAGACAAGGGGTTAATATCCAGTATATACAGGGAACTCAAAAACTAATCCCTCCCAAACCTAACAAACCAATTACTAAATGGGCAAGGGAACTAAAGAGAGACTTCTCAGAAGAAGAGATAAAAATGGCAAAGAAACACATGAGGAAATGTTCACCATCCCTGGTTGTGAAGGAAATGCAAATAAAGACAACCCTGAGATACCACCTTACCCCAGTAAGAATGGCCCACATCCACAAGTCAGCCAACGACAAATGCTGGAGGGGATGCGGAGAAAGAGGAACCCTATTACACTGCTGGTGGGAATGTACACTTATACAACCACTTTGGAAAGCAGTCTGGAGGGTCCTCAGAAAGCTAAATATTGATCTTCCTTATGACCCAGCCATACCACTTCTAGGCATCTATCCTGAACAACAGGAACCAGTATGCAAGGACACATGTTTATTGCAGCACTGTTCACAATAGCTAGGATATGGAAACAACCCAGATGCCCCACCACAGATGAATGGATCCAAAAATTGTGGTATCTATACACAATGGAATATTATGCAGCCATTAGAAATGACAAAATAATGGCATTTGCAGGGAAATGGATGGAGCTAGAAGAAATCATGTTGAGCGAGGTAAGCCAAGAGCAAAGAGACAAACGACACATGGTCTTGCTGATAAGTGGATGTTAAATGCAAAATGTTAGGTGATACGACAAAACTAACAGGACTTAAGAGACAAAGGACTTCCACTCATCTGGTCAAATCACTACTAAATATCCCCATGCTGCTGATCACATGTATGGTATATATGTGCACACCAGAGGGAAACCAGGAGGATGACACAGAACTAGAAGGATTCAGGGAAAAACATACAACAGTGGGACCCATCAGCTGCACTGGCCAGTGATCAAAATGAACTAAGCATCTCAATGGCAGCAATGGGAGGGAGGGAACAAGTGGGAAAGAGGGAACAACTGATGCTATCTATGTAAAACAAAAGAAATGTACATATCACCCAATGTGGAAGAAATAACTGTATTGCAAAGCTCATAGAACTCATAAATGTTATAGACCATGATAGACAATTTGCCCCATGAAAGTTAGAATGTGTTTGTGACTTTAACTAAGCATCACTATCGCACAATATTGTGAAATTTGGGAAATTATGTAATCATTTAATCACAATAAAAAATTTGAAAAAAAATTGTGTGTGTGTGAAATGAGGAATGGTAGTTAAAATTATGATATAAATATGACATATGAAGGAGTACATGAGTATACAAAACCATAAATAGCCTTAATTCATAAAGGAATTAAAGATTCTCTTAATCAATACCTATAACGTTCAGCATTTAAAGTACAAATTCATTGAGGGTTTTCATCCAGAAGATGTTAAATAAAGGTAATTAAGAATAAAATAAACCAGGTTCTGGATGCTCACACCTAGCTACTTGGAACAGTAGGACAGAAAAGCCTGTGAGACCCAATTTCAAAAATAACCAGCAAGCATGGCTTGAGGCATGGCTCAAATAGTGGACCACAAGCCTACCAAGCATGAAGCGCAAAGTTCAAGGCCCAGTACTGCCAAACAAAGAGAGAGAAATAGATGGGCACTAGTGGCTCACACCTACCTGTAATTCTAACTATGCAGAGAGAGAGAGAGAGAGAGAGAGAGAGAAATTAGGAGAAAGAGGAGGGGAAGGGAGAGAAGAAAGGGAGAGAGGGAAGAAGAGAGACAGAGCATGACTTCTAAAAATAAACCATCTTTATTGCATTTAATTCTATGCTGCACAAATTTACTTTTTAAGTGAAAAGAGAAAGAAATAAATTTTAAAGAAGGATATAAAATAAAAAAGCTGTTTTTTAAAAAACAGAAAATATGGGTAACACGTAGCTCATAATTAGAAAGGCCAAAGAGAAGATTATCATGGAATACTGAATGTGGAAAATGGACACAAATGAATGAAGCATGGGTACTGTAAATAGAAGGAGAGGCTTGTTATAAAATTAATTTTTGGGAGGAAAATAAAGGACTCATAGAAGTAGCCAATATGAATAAAGAAGCATTCTGAATGTTAAAGAGAGAACGAGAAACAAAGACTCCATTGAAAATAAGCTTGAAAAATCTGAAACTGGAAGGGCAGACATGGTCCCCCGATTTTCCCCTGCCTCTTGCTTTTCTCTTAGGACAGTGTTTACCAGTTCCCAATAAGGCAGCTCTGACCACTGGCAGAGAGTATTTTTCCACTCTCTTGGTTGTAGGGAACAAGGTGCTAAAAACAATTAAACTGAGGAACCATGATGAAGGCAAGAAGACACAGAAAGAGATTCTCATCTCAGTGGTCAAGAATCAAGACAGAAGAAAAGACAGACAAAGGGGAACTGAGATGCTCTTTACAGGTTTTTACAAATGACAAGCAGTGATGGCTTTGCCCCAATCATGAGAGAGGCAACCTGAAAACAACCTTCTTTAACTCGTGTCATTGAAAAATATCTCTTTTCTTCAAAACCACTTGACCTCAATTCTCCAAATCCATGCATTTTAGATGTAGTATGTGTATGATGCATGCACATACGACTAAAGTGTTTCTTTCCAGTGATATGCTATAGACTTTGGGTAAAATGACACATTTTTAACTATATTAAAGCAGTTAAGCTCCCAGGGATCTGGCAGTAATTGGAGAGGGTTTCTGCTAGTTTCCACCTTCACACAAACATACGCAGATCTTACCTTCGTGAAGGCGCGGTAACACAAGCCACACAGCTCCACCAGGTAGGCCAGAGTAAAGACAGCATTCTGAATTACAAAGCTGAGAAGCTTCGAAAATGGCTCCAACAAACTCTATAAAGAGATTAAGGCCAAGAAAATAAGTTTCTGGTTCTTACAGTAAAAAAAGAAGTATTAAATGCTTATTGCATTTTAATGACACTCTTTTTTAGTTAAGTGGCTATCGTAGGAACTCTGCTGGTCTAATACAAACAAAAGCTTCCACCAATGACTCAAGAGCATAATTTAAAATTTTTATCGTTTTTGATGTGTTCATTGTTATTTTAAAGGTAATATACAGAGGGGTTAGTTACAGTTGCATAAGTCAGGTAAAGAGTGCGTTTCCTGTCAGACAGTGTCACCCCTTTCCTCTCATTCTCTCCTAGTTTTTCCAATCTCCAATCTCCTCCCACTCTTTTAATTGTTTAAAAAAAAACACATTTTTCCATGTAGCATCATGTACAGATGTACCTGACTACAACCCAGTCCTGTCTGCCCGGAGCAATCCAGATCCCAGGATTTCTTGGACAGGGTTGTTTGTCCCAGGGTCTTCCGCTCTGTTTCCCAGAACAGTTAGGTGTCGATGGTTCATGGGATTCAGACCCTCCACAAGCCTGTCTTCTCACTCACTCACAGAGCAACTGCCCTGTGTACAAGCACCAAGTGCCAGCCTGACCCAGCCTCATCAGTGTTGATCGGAACACATTATCCATTTTGGTTTCTCTCCCTGAATCTCACCCATTGGGCTTTGCTTTTTTGAGACAGTATCTCGCTAGCTCAGACTGGCCTTGAACTCATGATTCTCCTGTCTCAGCCTCCTGAGTGCCACCACTACCCCTGGTCCTACTTTTTTTAAGTGATTTAGAAATGATGATGGAGCACACCTACTGAGGGTCAAGAAGAGCTAATGTTTCCATTCACTGCATCACATTCCTATTTCTAATAACTATCCTGGGAGACAGAATATTATAATAGCTTTAATGACACAAGCTCCGGAATCTAAGTGCTTTTGAACTCTCCCTCTTTGTAATCTTGAATAAGTGATTTAACCTCTTTAGGACTTAATTTTCTCCTCTGAAGAAGGGAAAAGATAAAGGCTTAATCTTAGAAGGGTTGTGAGAATTGAAGAAAACACATGAAAAGTACTTGGCAAAAATATATTCTCCATCAGTGCTGGCTGAGATCTTCATTGTTAACCTTCTAGAACTTTAGTAGCTCTCCCTGTTTGGGAGCTGAAGCATTTAAGTAGACAAGTAACCAGCCTAAGGCCATGCAGTTATGGGATAGAATTCAAATCCAAGTTCCAGAGTAATTTTCCCAAAGTAAAACTGCTTTGTAGAGAAGGCAGGATTTTAACTGGACACTTTACAACATTTCCATGCTATGACTTTTACTACTTCTGGAATTTTGTAGTCAGTCCTTTGGGTATGGTTTATAAAGTATTCCATGCTTAATGTGCAATTTTGTAGGAAAGTAGTAATGAGGAAATTAACGTCATACAGAAACCAAGTACCTAGTGATAACATTTTGATACATTTCCCTTGTTCATTTTATCCCTATAACCTTTCATATAAAGAATTACATTTTTTAGTAACTCAACAAGAAATTTACAGTATCAATTCTTCATAAACATCTATTTTTGTATATATACTCTCCAATAAATATATTTTTGCATGAAATTTTCATTTTCATTTTCTTCAGCATATTTTCCCATGAAAAGAATGAATAAATCAAAGTATATGGGCATTTGGAAGATTCTTTATTCCTCATTTATGCAAAAATGAATTCATTAAATGTGAGTTGCCTCTGAGAATGGAATTATATCTTTTGCTTATTTGTGTTCCCCACAGAAAACTTTGGAGTACAGACCCTGTAGAAAAATCTTAAGGAAATTTTTGAGGTAGTTCTGTTGATTCAGCATTCTTTGCTCTGCATAATGTTGTCTTGAAATGCTACCAGTGAATAAATAGGGATGCAAACATGTATCAAATTGATATAGAATGATTTCTGTACTTAGAAAGATCACCTAGTTAGTAGTAGGGAAGATGGGTTGGTAGGCATGGCCCCAGATATTACAAACAATGGCATTGTAATATATATTTATATATTTATATACACAACTATATAAACTACATATAGTTATATGTAAACTATATATAATTTTATATAAATATAACTGCCACTTACATTTTCCTGAAACATACATACCCTTGTGGCATTGGTGGAGGGTATCTTCAACAGGCAAATCATAATTCTCAAACTGGAATCTAAAGAACACTGAACAAATATGAAAAAATCAAAGTCAATTCTCTCCTTAATTTATCATTTGCTTCAAATATTTCTTTTTTGGGGGGGTGTCCAGTTGTGGGGCCTGAACTCTGGGCCTGGGCGCTGTCCCTCAGCTCTTCAGCTCAAGGCTAGCGCTCTACCACCTGAGCCACAGTGCCACTTCCGGCTTTTTTCTTTTTGCTTATATGGTGCTGAGGAATCAAACCCAGGGCCTCAGGCTTGCAAGGCAAGCGCTCTACCACTGAGCCACCTTCCCAGCCCTGCTTCAAATATTTCTTGAATTTGCTTAAGCTAAAAAAGAAATATAACTATCTCTATACAGCTTCCCAAGCCATATATTCATACAGAAAACAGTCACTGTCATGTTAAAATGAATAATAATGCTAAATGATTAAATAGTTAGATTCAGTTCCTAAAAGACCAAATGTTCTAAAATTAAATCATATAGAAAATTGGATAGAGAACTGATGGATGGATGGATGGATAGATGGACCCATAAGTAGACAAGTAGATATTAAATGTATCCAACTCTGAAGAGATACACTAATTTTTGAAAGACACTACTTTGGAAAAAAAAACCCTTAAGACCATTAAAAGCCATTAGTCCAAGTAAGAACCAGTTTCATCTGTCCTTCCTCTGACATGGCATGAAAAAACAGGACCAAAACCTGGGGAAAAGAAGCAAAATTTCTACCAGATAAAATCATACTGTACAAATCTATTAGAGGTCTATTTTGGCAAACTTCTACATCAAAATGTACTTTTTAGGCCTAGGAATGTGGCTCAGTGGTAGAGTGCATGCCTAGCATGAATGAAGCCCTGGATTCGATTCCTCAGTAGTACATAAACAGAAAAAGCTAGAAGTGGTGCTTTGGCTCAAGTGGTAAAGTACTAGCCTTGAGCAAAAGAAGTTCAGGGACAGTGCCCAGGCTCCGAATTCAAGCCCTAGGACTGGCAAAAAAAAAAAAAAGTGCTTTTAAAATTGAGTTTACTAGGTTGAGAGAAAATGTTACAGAAATAATAAACACAGATACTTTAAAAATTGTAAATATATCATAACAGCAGGTATTGTTCTGTTTCTGCAGCACACACTAAGCAGAATCCCTGGAGCGGCAAGCACGTCTACTACCTGAAAACCTGTGAGAATGCAAGTCCTCAGGCTCTACCCCTACTGAATCACAAACTCTTGAATTAGGTCCAAAAATCTGTGTTTTAGCAAGTCCTTCAGGGACATGGATGCACCCTAATGAAGGCAAAATACAGTGTTTTCAATGGCTTAATATTTTTCCAACAGATTAAAATCAGAACAGAAGTAGATCCCTGATCTGCCTAGTTTCGATATAGCACCGTTTTACAGAGAGAAATTTCATTGTTTGCCTTCCCATATATATTCATATTGTTCAATGAATCTCACCCTCTCTATCACTCTCTAGCAGGGAAAATTCTTACACGAATCCTAAAAATGTCTTATCTTCTAAAAGAACTACTGGCCTATTGAACATGCTCAGCAACCCTAAGATGTGATGTAACACTGACTTACTTTCAGCCAGGGCTGACAACAGGCTCTGTATCAAGCCCCCCACATCTCCTCCCCTGCCCCGTGATTTAAAAATCAGGAAATGTCATCTTAGAAAAAAATGAAAAGGCCCACTACATGAAGCATGTTCTCCCACATAACAACGATCAGCAGGCATGGAGGAGGCCACAGGAGGAGAACTGGTGCATTACGGTTGTTAAGGGTCTCCATTCTCCTCATTATGCTGTCTCACTGCACGTCATTCATTAACCTTGCAGGCAAAGCCCCCATGGGCAGAGTTGATTGACACAAATTAGGCACACCAGTTATTTACAGCTGGCAAGACTTCCAGCTAGTCAGCGTGCAACTTTAAAGAATTTTGCTATCACATTTTAGCATGGGCATTTGAATTTGCTGACTTTGCCCACTCCTGCTCTCAGAATTGGTGGCTCTTCAGCCACAAGACCCCAAATGACTCTATATACAAGGGAGGTTCCATGTAGTCACGTTAAATGTGTACAGTAGATTGTTTACACACATATGTCCAGTTCCTGGATACATACATGGTTCCAAAGTATCAGTCCTTTTTGTCTGGATTTATTTAGCCACTCCAATTTGGACAAACAGGGCTCATAGAATGAGAGAGGTGATAAAGAGCTCTGTTCTGTGCTTTCACTTTGTACCATAACCTCACACTCAAAGCAGTGCCCAGCAAACCACAGGCCTCTGAATTATTAACCTTATAGACCCTATTAGTAGTATCGACTGTAGGAGGCTGATCATGATAGTAGTGTATATATGCACAATACTCATTCCTGGAATATAGCCATCAACATGGAACATCACTTGTTAGATCAACAAGTGACTATTTTTGTCCCAATTTAAATACGTGTATCTATGAGCTGCATAAAAGGAAAAACATTTAGTGAAGCAAGCATGGTTCAAAGACTAGCTTTGCCACACCAGTTGTCTTCTTTCTCTGGGTATACAAAAATAAATACCTGCAACTCTTTCCCATTTTAGAAGAATGCAAGGAATCTTTTAGTTGAAAATATATTGGACTGTAAATTAAAAGACTTCAGTTCTGTACCTCATGTTGCTACCACCAAACTATTCAAGCAAGTTATACCACTTCTGTGAGTTGGAAACTCCCCAATTAGAAGATGGGTCATGGAAGGAATGGGTTTAATAGGTCTCTTCTGGTTGTAACAGCACAGGTGTCTGTTTTTATGTTTTTAGCAGGACCATCTTGATAACGATCCCTGGGCTCACACGTTCAGCTAGGTAACTCGTGTGTGTGTGTGTGTGTGTGTGTGTGTGTGTGTGTGTGTGTGTGTGTATTCTTGAATGTTGTATAGTGTCATGCACAGCAAGAAGTTCAACAGAAATGTCATCTTGGTTCTGCAGTTACATTATTCACAAGTACACGATCTCTTCCCTTAGATTATTCTTAAAAACTGAAACTTTACATAGGTCTGAGCTTCTTAAAGACAAAACTATTATCTATGATTATTTTTCTTACATCCATAAAAGAAAAAAATTTAGGTCAAATGTCTTTCTAAATTTTTTTTTATTTTTTGGGTCCGGTCGTGGGGCCTGAACTCTGGGCCTGGGCGCTGTCCCTCAGCTCTTCAGCTCAAGGCTAGTGCTCTACCACTTGAGCCACAGCACCACTTCCAGCTTTTTTCTTTTTGCTTATGTGGTGCTGAAGAATCGAACCCAGGGCCTCAGGCATGCAAGGCAAGCGCTCTACCACTGAGCCACCTTCCCAGCCCCTTTCTAATCTTTTTTTAATCAACTAAAAATATGCAATTACTGACTGAGCTAATTATTATCAGTAAGCAAAATGCCAACCTCATATCATTCTTATTCTGTCATATCAGAAAGAATAATCTAAACATATTTTCTTCATTTGGTGCCTGACCAATTCCTTATAGACCTTTAGGAACACCAAATCACCTGACTGTTGTACTGATCTCTGTAAGCAGATGGTCAGAAAGTAACTCAAACTGAAGTTGTGGGCTCTGCTTACCTTCAGAGGTAAAACACAAGGCAGCTTGGCAAAAAATGTCTGGAACTGGTTGCTGATTGTGGTCCAGAGGCTACTAGGAGAATCCATGGGCAAAGCTTCCATGAATGTAGCAATGTTTTCCAAACAGCGTATCATAGCACCCCCTGCTGGTAAATTCTTTTTGTTATTTAGACCCTAAAAACACAAAAGCATAAGCAATCAACTGCTGAAAATTACACAGGAAGTCATAAAGCCACTTGGTACAGATTGCTTTAAAACCACCTATTCTCGCTACAATCATGTGCTGAGTGCCTACTATCTAGGCAAATCACTGTAATAGGCAGAATGAATATGGATATGTTTAAATAAACTTGGCGGGGGGAACTGGTGATCTTTGACTCTGTGAAAGGTGAAAGGTGAGCAAGAAAGAAGTAATCTTCTAAGAATCTATAATTGGCATGGCCAGGTGCCAAGAAGAGACAATGAGTCGTGCTTGCTGGGAAGAACTCTCCAGGACAAGGCCTAGAAGTAATTACACAACAGCAGCTTTTCTCCTAACAATGCCTGACAACTATCAACCAGTGCAAACGAGAAGAACTGGAGTCTTGCAGTATGGTCTAAAAGTACTGGAGCTAGGACTTGAATTCCATCATACAACACAGCATGACATTGTGGATACGCAGTGGAACTGCTCCACAAATCACATCTTGAGATCCTGGGAGAAGCAGTGGGGCAGACACTCAAATCCAGCTCTCATGATACAATATACATGCTGCTCTCCTCTGCATGTGTATTCTGAATTCCAGAATAGGATGATTCTATAGATGTGAGTTCTTAACCCCGGTGGATACCCCTTAGTTCAAGTCTGGACATTCTGGATGACAATAAGCCCATCCAATATTTAAGGTTTACGTGAAATTACTGGATGTCCCCCAGCGATATGGAGTGACTCCAACGTGCCACATGATTTTGGCTGGGGCCTAGCCTATCATTGGAACAAACCTACCTCCAAGAGCTGACTGAGAGCAGCAATGGAGCTGAGCTCATTGAAGTCCATGAGAGACGTGGCTAAGGTCCGTAAAAAAGTCCCATCTGCAAAGACATTCATCAGATTTAGCAGTGTTTGGGTCTCTGGCTAGGCAAGCTTCCAGGGCCTGCATCTGCCGCAAGCGAGTTACCTTTGATGGTGCTCTGGAACAGCTGCGGGAAGATGCCGTTAGGGGCTAGCTGATGGAAGACGCAGCGCAGAAACTGCTTAGCGACCCCCGCTGCATTGCCAGGGACCATCATGCTGCAACGAACACAGAGAGGAACAGACACAAACTGAGAGTCACAGAGTGTGTGGTGAGGTACCGGAACCTAGGCATTTACACACGGATTCTCTTATGTAATGTCTCATTGCCAATGTCATCAGTGAGATGAAATAATGTAGTCAAACTTCACATTTTTTTAAGGAAAAAGATAGCTGTGAAGTGCTAGTGACCCAGGCTATCCCTGGCTTCCTAAAGTAGAAATGTGTGTTCCAACGCTCAGGAGAAAATGGTGTCCAGAGAATATGATAGTCAGGACTGGAACGCTAGATGAGGACTATTAGCAAGAGCCTCCCAAGGAAGTCTAATTGCCAAGGGAGTCGCTCTGAGGAAGAATGCAGTGAGGGAAATGTTCATTCCCATTGGGAGACATGGGAAGTTTGTGAGTGTCCGAGTTGATACTTGTAAGCAGGATAGGATTTTGGTAGCCAGAATTTCCCCTTCACACATTGTATACTTCTGCATGGCAAAGAGGGGAGCAAAAGATCTTTTTGTGGCCTGCTGAATAGACCAAAGTACCAGTAGAGGTATTTCCTGAGGTGGTTAGGAGGTTCGCTATGGAAGGAGGAAAAGTCAAGAATCACAAATGTATTCAAGATGAGAGGTTATTGCCTTATTATGTCATGCCTACCCAGAAATGCTGATGAAAGCTTCTAGGCAGAAAATAATTTTCAGGAAAAACATAAATAACTTTAAAAAATTGAGATGTTTGGGGCTGGGAAGGTGGCTCAGTGGTAGACTGCTTGCCTTGCATACATGACGCCCTAGGTTCAATTCCTCAGCACCACATAAGCACAAAAAGCCGAAAGTGGCTCTGTGGTTCAAGTGGTAGAGTGCTAGCCTTGAGCTGAAGAACTGAAGGACAGTGGGGCCCACAGTTCAGGCCCCACAACCCAAAATCAAACATACACGGAAAAAAAAAATGAGAAGTTTGTTTTACAAGGCCAGCATAGTCCCCAAATTAAAATCAGATAAAGACTTTATCTGAATGAATGAATGAATGGAAGCAGAATGGACAGATAAAGGATAATCCAGTACTTTTCATAAGCATTAAATTCAACTCGAGATTAAAAGAATTATATATTGTGGGGGGCTGGGAAGGTGGCTCAGTGGTAGAGCACTTGCTTTGCATGCCTGAGGCCCTGGGTTCGATACCTCAGCACCACATAAGCAAAAAGAAAAAAAAAGCCGGAAGTGGTGTGTGGCTCAAGTGGTAGAGTGCTAGCCTTGAGCTGAAGAGCTGAGGGACAGCGCCCAGGCCCAGAGTTCAGGCCCCACGACCGGACCCCCCCCCCAAAAAAAAGAATTATATATTGTTATCAAGAATATAAGCACAGTTTAATATTTAAAAGTCAATATAATTCCAAATATTGAAGAATAAAGGGCCAAAAACTTTTGATTATTCCAATAGATGCAGAGAATACATTTGACAAAAGTTAACACACATGATAAATTGGAAAAGGAAGGAATTATCATCAGTCTACAAAAATATTATAGTTAGCATAATAGTGAGATAGTAAACACAGTGGGAAGCAAAGCAAGAATGTCCACCTCCACACCTCTAGTTTTGTCTAGGTAGTCCTAGGCACTGTTGAAAGGTATTTAAAATAAATAAAATGAGAAAAGAACAGAAAGGAAGTAACAAAATGAGTCCTTCTTTGCAGATGGTATTTTTTCATATAAAATTAAATGAACAAAGCAACTTCTACCATTAATGACTGAATTTAGCTAGGATACAATGTTAATATACAAAAATCAATTACTATTACAGCAGTAAATAGAATTTCAAAATCTCATTTACATTAGCACTTAAAAACATAATTCTTGGGAATTAATTGAACAGAAAATTTACTGAAAACTTGAACATTGCTGAAAGCAACAAAAAAATTGTTAAAATTAAAGATCTAATGAAATGGCAGTGCATGCCATGATCATGAATTGACAATTCAATATTTTTATATCAGTTATCTCAAAACTGATTTATACTTTCAGTATAATCTGAGCAGGTTGTTCTAAAGCTTATATGGAAATTTAAAGATCTCTCTCTCTCTCTCTATATATATATATATATACACATACACAAACACCACTCTTGAAAAAAATGACTAAAGTTGAAACACTCATTCCAACTTCATGACTTACTGTACAGTCACTATAGTCAAGATTGTGTAGTGTGAGTTTAAGGATTAAGATTTAGATAAAACAAACAGAATACTCTTACATGATGTTTTGAGCTTAACAGACACAATAGTGTCAATCAACATTTGAAAAAACTGTCATAGGGAGATACAAATTAAAACGACATATCTACCAGAATGAATAAAATTTAAAAGATCAATAACTCTGAAATATGGGAAGGATGTAGAACACCCTGAAGTCTCATACATTGATGATGGAAATATAAAATAACATGCTAATTTTATATACAGGAAAAAAAACATGTAATAATTTTGGATAACTATTTCTTACAGAAGATAAGTTCTGGCAATTTCTTATAAAATTAAACATATACTTATCCCAAAAGGCATAAAACATGTTTACAAAAAAAGTTTGTATAAGGATGTTCATAGCAGCTCTGTTTATAATTGCCCCAAACTGGAAATAACACAGAAGTCCTACAATAAGAAAATGAATAAACTATGTTTGTAAAAGAAATAAACTACTTATTATAAGCACAGATGGATCTCAAAATTTTGCTGCAAAAAATTCAGACACAATTCCGTTTATGTGAAGTTCTACAACAGGCAAAACTAAGCAGTGGTAGGAAACTCTGGGAGTGAAAGTAATATCCACTATTTTGACAAGGGTTTAAGTTTTGCAGGTATATGCATTAGTCAAAATGCAGTGAATATGTACTTAAGACTCATGTGACTCCTTGTATATAAATTTTATAAAAGAAACAATCATACTTAATGTATAGCATGTTGACTATCAATAATAGTATTTGAAATCTGGTAAGTCAAATCACAAGATTTCTTACCAAAAACAAAACAAAAGGTAACTATCTCAGATGATGACTATATTTTGCTGAAGGATATAGGGAAAAGTATAGAAATATCTGTATTTTCCTTTAAAATGAACTCACATATAAAATGGATAGAAGGGTCATTAGTGGGTATGTGATTAAAAAATAAAATATTGAAGAATGTAAGTCTAAGATTTTTATGAGTGTTCACTGTAAAATTCTTTCACCTTTGCAATATGCTTAAAATGTTTCTAACACTACAAAATATAAAGGAAAAACAAAAGGAAAAAGTTTTGTGCCCAAATAGAGCACAAGAAAGATCTTAAGTTATAGACATGCAATGCTGAAATGATGACATCCTGTGTGCGTAGGAGCTGCTACAATCATGCTGCCACACAGACTCTGTCACTCCACACAAGAAGGGCCTATGTCCATCCCTCTTTGACAGATGAGAAAACTGAGGTGTCCAAAGTCACACATGGCATCTATTTCTGTCCTCTGGTTCTTGTTCTCTGTGTAGCCAAAGTAACCTTCACATGCTGTACGCACACACAAATGTACGCCTCAGCGTTTAAGGGTCTTCCAGTGGACTTCTGACCGCTGCTAGCAGTATACCCCAGATATGGGGTTTGTAAAACCTGGACCACCAAGCCAACCTCAGCAAGAGCTTATTTACATCTCTGTGCCGTAGTTACACAGGTCTTTCCAGCGTTCCTCTTGTATGCCCCCACCCCACCCCACCCCTGTCCTGAGTAAAGAATTTGAATGGAAAGTGATCCTTCCAAAAGGTAAAGCAAGACACTCCTCTCTCCAGTGGCTTCCCCTGTCACCAAACTCACAGAGACACACAGGGCTCTATGTGTCCCAGCTCCCTCGCTTGTCCACCTCATCTCACACTACTTCCAATGCTCACTCCAGCCACATTAATCCACTTCCCTAATACATAGTCATTTTCATGACTGAAAGACTTTGCCTTTGCTGCTCGCTCTGATTGGAATGTTCTTTCCAAAAATCGCTGCATGGATTCCTTTTACTTTACTCAAGTTCTGTTCAGTGACACAGATATCATTTTTCCGTCCTTAATCGTTGTATCTAAAATACCAACTCCCATCCCCCTCTATCATCTGGACTACACTGATTTTCATAGCACTTACTACTAAATGATATTAAATAACAGTATCCATTTTCTTATTAATTAGTTTGATCATTTTGTCCTTCTTCTTCAACTTGAAGGACTAGAGTGTACCATTGTAAACCACCATGTCTTCAGTATCTAGTATAACTTCATAAATACTTGTTGAATGTTAACATAGTTTTGGGTAAATATTAATTCTGGCTTGCTTTCCTGATAAACTGTTTCTTAAGGACAGGAACCATGTCAGGTCAGTTCCCCCCTAATTAAAACTTGAGTATTGGGAATGTACTTGTTTCCTCATTTATGACATCTTATTATCACCTTAATATGACAATAAAAATTTAAACTTTTTTTATTAGGGCTTGATTGTAGTTCATTAGTAGAGTACTTTCCTAGCATGTGTAAAATTGTGGGTTTAAGACTCAGCACCGCAAAACCAAACCATAAGTATCTAGCATAGGGAGACTTAAAAATATCTGTTGACTAAAATGAGTGAGTGAATGAATAAATAAAGGTATGAACACAAATTGAAAACTAGCACTCCCTGGAACTGCAACTGGAACCAACAGTAACCCTTCCATACAATACACACAAGTGTTTTTACAAACAGGGTAAGCATTCAGGGGAGCAAAAACAAAGTGAGATTTGTGTCCACTAAAGACCTTACCTTTCTGCTTGATTAGAAAAGGTAGTGCTGGATGCCAATCTAGGAAATAAAATAGACAGAGTCACACAAGTAGCTCGAGTTTTCATCATGAAAGGTGTCGGTAATGAAGCAGGATTGTGGTTCGGGTTTACAGGGGAGGAATAAGTACTGATCATTCCTTTCACCAGGGCCAGAGGGGCTACTCAGTGGTAAGCGTCCAGGGCTAAACTTAACCCTTAAACTCTGTGTTCAGTGTCATGTCATCTATTTCCACAGAGTGGCATGCAGATGCAGTTTGGTTTTCTATCATCCAGCCACAATATGGCCTCCACTGATAAATAACAGAACATTTGACTTAGCCCATTTTCATATTTACTCAAATTACTACAAACTAACCACAAGTCATAAAAGCCTCCATAATACAGTAAAATAGGTAGCAGAGGTATTTGTCATCCAACTTTTGAATTGAAATAATGAAAAGGGAAATCCATTGCATTTAGAACAGAAATATGTTAGGTTAAGCAAGTGATCTATAACACATAATGTTGGAAAGTATGAAAATTTTGACATATGGAAATCTGCTATGCCATTATGTAGAAAGAGCATGTCCTAAGTTGAAGTATTTAGAAGAACTTCCTTCTTTACTACTTCCCTCTCTCCTTTCCATTTTTCCTTCCTTTTTCCCTTTCCCTTCTTTTCCTTTTTCTTCTTTTTTGTGGTGCTAGGAATCAAACTCAGCACATGCTCTAGGTAAATACTCTCCCACTGAAGTACATCTCCAGCCTAGGATTTCATTTGATTATTGTATTTGTTTTGTTGTTTTTGTTTTGTCATTGTACTGGGGTCTGAACGAAGGGATTCCTATTTCTTAGGCAGGTGCTCTACCACCTGTGCCATCCCTTCAGCCAGAACAATAGGTCTATCTGTTACTAAAAAGTATTGGCAGCAGCAATTCTGACCTTACATTAATAAAACCCATCAGCTCCACAAGTATTACTGATAAATAATATAGTATTTATCCCATAATGATTAAAATTAAGCCTTAAGTGAATTATTAAAATCAACGTTTTTAATGAAATAATAGTTTTCTCTCTTATCTCTCCATATTCATCACTTACTTTTTCACAATGGATTATTTTGAAGGTAATGAGTAGATGGTTACATAACTTTCTATTGCCTCTGACTATATAAAAGATACTTCAAAAGAACTGGAGGGACACGAATAATGGGGTTATATGTTTTGGGAGTCAACATTTTTTCTGTTTATTTTAACTTGAAATTATTTCTTCATTTTAAAAAAAAGGTTAAATTTTAGCCCTATTAGGATTCATCTCTTCCCTTCACTCAAATGCCAGGAACATTTCCATTCTGAACTTTTATAGCACTTTACCCTCATGCATTACAACACTTATTCATGCCCTGTCTTGTCTAGCTACTAAGTGATTCCACATACAGTCATCTTTGTCAACAACTAAGGCACAGCTTGGCACGGTGCTGCGTACCTACAATGGAAGGCTTCCATGCAGGAAGCCTAGACAGGAAGATCATGAGCCCCCAGAGCTACCTATCGAGATCCTGCCTCAAAACAGCATAGCAATAAGCCAAAACTAAGACCCAAATTAAAGTGCTTGATAGCAGGAGCAAGGTCTTAAAGCCAGTAGTCTGAAGTACCTAGCACTGTGCTAGCACAGACCGGGAACTTCATAACTGAATTATAATCTTCCTGCAGGCTGAAAGTCCTATTCCAAAAACATGTACTCTTACTTTATCAGTATATCATGCCTACACTAATGCCCCAAGTTGCATAGTTAAGTGAGTACCTTGAGATTATAAAATAGCTAGAGAATCCATCTCAGGTAAAGAGAGATGATAACAACAGTATTAATAATAGTGGCTACTAATACTACTACTATGGCTCACCATGAACTACTGACAGTTCTGAGCACTATTTCCCACATTATCTCCTACAGGAATAGGGAAAAAATGGTTTTCCCAGTATAGATCCCTCTCTCTTCCTTCTGTTATTGTGATTCATGATCCTGGACAGCTGGGGAATTTGATCAAAAGATCAGCTCATTTTTTTATGAGTTTTTTATTGTTGTTGTTAGTTATGCAGTTTGAACTCTGGACTTGGGTGCTGATCAGCTCATTTTTTTAAAAGCTCATCTGAATTGATATGACAGATTCCAAGCATCTACAAGGTGAGTGCTTTATTTTCAAACTGCTGGTGTTATATCATGATAATGCTTTGATAAGGCTCCTTCCTATAAAATATAACAGAAGCCAATATTCACCTTCCCACAGACTGCATGATATCCAGCAAGAGTGGGGCTGCCAAGTCAGGGCTTAAGTGAATGAATGTGGAGAGAACCACGATAGCCAGGCCAAGGGTTTCTTCATCATATTCTTCAAGAATAGCTCCGCAGTCATGGCATCTACAAAGAAAACAGAGAAAGGCTTTCCATGAAAGCCAGTCATGGTTCAGGGTAACACACAGCCATTTCTCACTAAGTCTTAGAAAATTCCCCCCAAAGGAAGTTAATGTCCCCAATTCTCACAGCAGGTGGCTCACACACAGAAAGAGTGCATACGACAGAGGTCATGAAAGTTCCTTAGGTTACTGAAGACATACTCAGCACACTTCACAAGCCTCTGAGTTTCGGTTTTCTTTTAGAATGAGCATCAAGAATACTGACGTGATACATATGGAATGGTAAGCATGTGAAAATAGGGCGAGGGAGAGTTGTAAAACATATTTTGAGTTTGTGCCAGTCTTAGGGTTTGAACTCAGGGTGTTATCCTTGAGCTTTTGTGCTCAAAGCTAGCACTGTACCACTTGAGCCACAGAGCCACTTCTAGTTTTTTTGCTAGCAACAGGCTCTTCCTTTTTCATCCTAAATATTGAATCATATATAAGCCAGGTACCTGTGGCTCACACCTGTAATCCTACTCTCAGGAGGCAGAGATCTGAGGATTGCAGTTCAAAGCCAGGCTGGGCAGGAAAGTTCATGAGATCTTATCTCCAATTAACCATCAAAAAGCTGGAAGTGGAGCTGTGGCTCAAGTGGGAGAGCTCTAGCCTTAAACGAAAAAGCTCAGGGACAGAACCCAGGCCCTGACTTTAAGCCCTGGAACTGGCGCGTGTGCATGTGTGTGTGTGTGCGAGTGTGCGTGCACACACACACACACACACACACACACACACAGAAATTCCTAAGCACAAACAAAAGCGTCACAGAATACATCATTTGTAAATTCACCACACATACCAACATTTATAGCTACAGTCTTTTAAAGAACACAGTGTGACTTAAAAACAAACCATGTTTCTTCTGACACCCTCTTACAACTCTTACCATTGTGGTGACCAAACCAATTCTATAAACATGGTGAAGAAAAGAACAGTGTGAGCTTACTTGTCTGTCATCACTGTTGGCTGCTCATCAGTGAATTCTTCTGGTGCAGGCACAAACATGCTGACTATGCTCGGTGCTGACAGCAGGCTGGATTTAGTGGCACCTGGGTAAGCAGCAAAGAGATCATCTGTGAATAAGGATCAGCTCCAGGGGCCAGATGAAGGGCTGGTCTGCCCCCCTAAACCCTCTGAAAATCACATTCACAGGACTGTGACTTGAACATCCTAACTGCATTGTGGAAAACCCTCACCAGTGCAAGAAGTCAAGAAAGATGGTTATTTGTTTCTGCTTATGTGATTTTAAGAGCTAGATGTCTACCTCTCCCTTGCTTCATGAATTCAATAAAATCAGATAAGGGTTCACATGGACCAACGGTACTAGAAAAGATGACAAAGAAAAGGGAAAATTGACTCTAGGGAACTCCTAAGTCAGTAGTATCCTTACTTGCTAGCATACATGAAAGCTGTTCACAAGATGCTGCATTTCTAAAAGCACAAATGCACATCAACAGTAAAGTGTTAGTATGATACAGAAATAAGATTCTAGAACTTCACACAGCTAAGCAAAGGGGGATATTTGAGCTATCTTTAAGTCACTTTCTAATATCCCAAACTGGAATACAAATGTTAATACAATGTTTATCAACTATTTCTGATATAACATTGCTTCCCAAGTATATATGTGTATTATAATGATGTTAAAGTGGAAGCAATAGCACAAATTACAAATTAAATAGAAAGTTGCTTCATTAAATGAAAACACAGAAAGCTTAAATACAGTATTTTACATTTCTTGAACATTGTTTACTAGATGCCAAAATGCCCATGCTAAAAGTGGAAGAATTCAGTCCATAATATATATGATAATACAACCATAAGTCTTACTGGAGACATGTGACTAAATAAACTATTAATTCAAGACTTTCAGAGGATTATTGTCAATTACTATTATATAGTAATCACAACTAAAGTCAAGACAAGAGAAGAGATGTGGTCCTTTTGGTAGTTTCAAAACCATCATTAACCTAAGAAGAGTCATCATTTTTTACAATAGCATGATGAGGGTTTTTTCCCCCTATATGACAAACACAGCATATGATGCAGTATCTATGATGACGATCTGTAAAAACAGTTAGGTTAAGTCACTGGGCATTGGTCCTTCAAGGAAACATTAGCTGAATCAATCGATTCCTGAATCCTGCATGAAAAGGAAACAATGATGTACAAGGAGGAGATGGGAAGTAGAAAAAGGAAGCCACAGACCTCAGCTCCCTTCTGCTATAACTGAGTCATCACCAAGTCTGCACTATTCAAGGAAGTTCCCATGGCCCCCCAGCCGCTCCCAACACCTGGGACACCACAACTATGCTTCCCCTCCTGAATATTCAGAGTACACGTTGAACAGAACTAGAAGCAGCAATAGAGGGTTCTAAAAAACTTGAACGAGGAGAGAACAATTTCAAGACTGGAAAGGCTGACAAAAGCCCCGTTGGAATCTTGGAGGTAAGAGAAATGATCAAGATGTGTTTGTCTCAAAATACACACACACACACACACACACACACACACACACACACACACATCAGGCACCTAGCTGCACTAAAGGGCTCTTTCATTTACCATGAATAAGAGAAAGACCAGTTTTCCATGCTGGCTCCTTTACCTCACTGTTCTTTTTCACAGGTCTCAAACAAGCACCAAAGATTTGTTCAGCCACCTTCATTTCTATTCATGTTTTCCTACCCTCATAGATTAGATGAGTCTTACCTCATCTGATAAAATGGCTAAAAAATGCTACTCGATACTAAAATACTGTTTATGAAAGTTGGAGATTAATATCTCTACACTCCTTAGGAAAACCAGAAGAATAGTATGGTCTAGAAAAACAATCTGCTGGACTTAAGAGACTACTTATGAAATGTCCTCATAATTCTTTTTTTTAACCAAAGATAATATAATCTGTCCTCTGAATTTTAAGAATATAAATAAGGACTCACTACTTTTATGGCTAAAATTAATAGGATGGATTTTGAAAATAAAAATTTTGATGAGCTAGCACAGATTTATGTTCTCCTTCCTTCCACAGGGAGCCTAAAGTCAAGTATATATTTTCAGTATGCAACTCAGTTGGAAAAGAATCTGTTCACTTATGACCTCAATGTTCTAGAAGAAATATAGATAAGCAGGATCATATTCAGAAAAATAGAGTGACATGAAAATTGGTACATATTGGAGGAATGCTGAAGGGCCCAGGAGTGCCTGGTCTAGAAACAGCTAAGGGAATAAGCACTGGTGGCTGTCTCCAAGTGTCCAAAAAGTTGTGTGAGGGATACTAGATTTTTGTGTGGCCCTAAGGGATAGAAAGTCACTGATCATATTGGTAATAGTCTAAAATAAAATGTCATGCATTCCCAGTCCCTGGAGGTATTTAGCAGAGGTTGGACTACTTCCTGGAGCTGCTGAACAGCCCTCAAAACCTGCTGGGTAATTCAGTGATGGACATAAATAGTCTTTCAGCACTACAGTCTGAGATTCTGTGACTCAACCAACCTCTCATTCTCAATGGCTGTCCCTCCAGGTCAAGGTTTAGGCACATTGGCACATTACACTGGCGTTTCCCAGGCTGTATCTGTTCTGTGGATAAACAGAGCATTTCAGTCTTCAACATGGTCAGTTTAGTACAACTTACATTACAATCGATATAAACAATACTCTCTTAGGGTCATTGTTTTGGTCATTATCTTTGTCAACTATTAACATTTAAAGGAATCACCTGGACTGTACAGTAGGATTGTTTGAATGTTTGCTATAGAACTGCCATTCACTTAAACGAAAAGCATCTGAAAGCAAGAGAACATAACAGAAGTATCCAACCTCCACCCCACCTCAAAGAAGAACAAGTCTTGTATCTCCTGATATGAAATGAATGGCCCATGTCATAGCCCTAAAAGAAATGTTTTTATGAAAATCAACAAATACATAAGTGATCATTTGGAGCAACAACCAAAAACTTCATACAGGAATACATGGGCCCATGAAGAGGAAATGGCAAGCAGTTGGTTGGGGAACAGAGAACAGAAATAGAGGGCAGAAGCAGAAATCCTGGCAAGGTGCTTCAGGGATGTTCATTCACAGGAAAGACAAGGCACAGAAGCAAGTCATCTCAATGTATACGATGGAGAGACGGGGCTCTGTGAGTGAGCTGGTGGGTACAGAGCTGGGGCATCCATCAGGACTCATGTTTCAGGTCACTTTTCTCAGTGTGTGTACATGACCAGATTTGCTCTTGAGTTACTGAATCAATATGGGGTTTAAAGTGACATGCCACCTAAATATCACACTACATATTCATAGACTCTGCCCGAAGATGGCAGTAATAAAAATGAGAATATTAAAACCAGGTACTATGGTATGTGTCTGTGGTACTAGCTACTCAAGTGGCTGAGATTGAACAATGATTGGAACCCAGAAGTTCAAAACCAGCCCCAACAATATCTTTTTTTTAAAAAAAGAAAGATAAAGGAAAGAAAGAAAGGGAGGGAGGGAAGAAGGAGGGAGGGAGGGAAGGATGGAGAGAGGGAGGAAGGAAGACAGGGGAAGGAAGGAAGGTAGGAAGGAAGGAAGGAAGGAAGGAAGGAAGGAAGGAAGGAAGGAAGAAGGAAGGAAGGAAGGAAGGAAGGAGAAGGAAGGAAAGAAAGAGAAAGAAGGAAAGAAAAAGAAAGGAGGAAAAGACATAAATCTTGAGATGAAACTCTAGTAAAACATATAGTAACAGAACCAACTTAGAGAATGGAAAACTCAGGTGAAAAATTCAGGCAACATGTAAATAAGTGTTTAAATGTAAAATCAAGTAACATGAACATGGTTGAATGAAGTCTGGTTGAAAAGTAAAAACAAATCAGTTAATGGGTTATTTGGCATCATGTGGTGTTTTAGGTTAAAATTCAGATCAGAAAACAAAATCAATTTGCCTTTTTATTACTCAAAAAGTCAACCAAATTGGGTTGTAATTATAGCCAGAATCTAAAATGGTTAGTTTAGGCTCAACTATTTGTTACAAAAACAACAGCATGGTAAAATAATTTTCAGAGCTCAGTTTAACCTAGGAATTTAATATCAGAGACCCAGCAAACAAAAGCTGCCATTCTCATATCCTTACCCAGCTTCCACTCTGTACAGATAGAAAAAGTCTTGTTTGGTATGAACAGAAAGACTTCGCTCATGCCGAATAACCTCCTGAGATTGGCCATCCAATGGCTATTTTTTTCCCTTTTCTTCCCTGCCTACTGGCTTCTGGCTATTCAGTGTTCACTCCCATAAATTTTTAAATGAAGACACTAGTTCCTTAGACTGTTAAGAACTCTTACAAAGTTCAGGATAACTGGACCTGTCTGTTACATGCAGATTGGGTGTGTTATGTGGAACTTACTTATTGAAAAGAGGCCTTTTTTTTTTTTTAAGAATAAAAGGACAAGTAAAAAGATACAATCCTCCATGTATATGTAAATACACAATTACACACATATACACATTTATATACATATATGTTATAATTTATAAACAGAATATCAGGGTCTTGGTTTTATAGATATTGTAATTGCTGGTCATCATAAAGATTATTAAAATAATTTCTTATACCCAGAAAGTACTAAAAAGACTAAAAGAATAAACTTTCATTTTCACAGTGTATGCATGCTTCAAAGTGTTTCATATATCATCTTGTACCTCAAATGATCCATTTAATTAAATAAAAAGAAAAGGCCACTTAAAAGAAGCTTGCGGCTTAAGAAGGTAGTAAATGTGGAGAAGAAAATAAAAAGTTTAGGAAATACCCTGACCATGATTAAAATCGAACACGTGATGGCAGTCAATTCTTCCTCTGAAACTGAGGTTAGATGTAGTTCCATCTTATGAGTGTGAACGTGTGTGACTATAACCTGGTGACCACTTCTAATACACAGGCCTCATTCCCAAACCTGCCTATTGTAACATCACTAAGCCTACATTTGTTTTTCCTCTTATTACTTCTACTAACACTTGCTTACTTTTGGGTACTTTGTAATTTATAGAACAGAGAATATGGTAACACCTAAAATCTGGATCTTAACGAAAAAAGAATTGGGTGAGCCTAGATTCTCACTTGGAATGTTTGAATCAACTTTTTAATTATTTCAGGTTTTTAAAATTATTTGAACCAAAGAACATGAGAGAAAAACTATTCCTCTGGCATTAGCTAATCTGAGAGGTTGAAAAAAAAAAAGAAGAAAAAGCTTGACCCACCAGTGTCCCAGTTGCTGATGTTATGGGGGGCGCTAGACTGGTGTTCCAGCTGCCGCTTCATTAACTGGCTCATTGTCAGAACTCCCAGGGATCCCCTTTTCATCTGCCTATACTGAGCTATATGAAGGAAATTAGGAGATGATTACTAGGGGGAATAAAATTCCACAGAGCACAAAGGCTCTACACAGCTGTATGAATCTTAATTGAACTTCATTATCTATTCATAATTTTTAGCCCATTACATGCTCCTATCCAAGTGAACACTAAGGCACTATGTTGTTCCAAGTGTCTTTCCTTACTCAGTATACACAGTAACAGTGTCCTTTAGCAATTATCTATAGCCTATAAATACTGATCCCAATTACAGCAGAGGAAATACGATTAGATTATTTTCATTTGATATTTTACTGAAATACTCCACCAGATCCCCAAAAGTATTAAAGACAAATGATACTACTTTGAATTGGAGGCATGTCATAGGGCTTGAACTCAGGGCTTGGGCATCCCTGAACCTTTTTTGCTCAAGGCTAGTGCTCTACCATTTTGAGCCACACCACCACTTCTGGCTTTCTGGTAGTTAACTGGAGACTTTTCTGTCCAGACTGGCTTTGAATTCTGTTCCTCACAGATCTTAGCCTCCTGAGTAGCTAGGATTATAGGCATGAACCACCAGCCCCCAGCTACTTTGAATTTTTAACTTATCTTTCTTTACTGGAGCTTATTTAAACACAGTTTTGGTCTTCATGATGTCCCTATAAGGTCCTGTAGGATGTATGCATTGTGTGCGTGCGTGCGTGCGTGCGTGCATGCGTGCGTGCGTGCGTGCGTGCGTGTGTGTGTGTGTGTGTGTGTGTGTGTATCTAGGAGTAAGTTGACACATCTCAACTCCAATATTTAGAAAGCAAAATTTAATCAAATGACATTATAACTTGAATCCAATCAGCAATTGAGGTGGCCCTAAAAACAAAATTTATCAATGTCAATGTCCTATTTCTATAGGAACTTCTGCCTACTGTTTGAAAAATGTAATCAAATAATATTACAGTATGTTCTACATGTCTTTGCTTTAGATGATAAAACTGTTATCCTCAATTAAGAAAAACCCAATAATGAAATGTTTTATTACTTCTAAACCATAAAACAGCAAAAAACCACTGCCAGTAGACAGTTAGAAAGCTTCCTACTCTTTTGCTCCTATTTATCAAGAGATCCCACCAGTCCCCACCAATATCCAGTGTAAGACAGCACGCAAAAACCTCTCGTGTGGCTTTTGTTCACAATCCCAATCAAATACTGGGATATTTGACAACTGGTGTTTGTTTTGTTTTGCCTCTTATGAGATCAACTTCAGAAACCAAAGAAGTGAACTGCATGCCCTAGAAAGAGAGAGTAGAGATCAGGATGACTAAATGGCTCTGGAAAATCTTAAATGTGATACATGGATTTTACAATTGTGGTAGCAAAGCAGCCACTTGGTATAACATGAAATCAATTGTACTATTATTACTAATGTAATAAGCATGCTGCTGGATTGACAGTGGTCAAGGCATGTTTAGCTACAAAATAACCAGCTGATAGAATGAGCAAGAAAAGAGTTCATATTTAATGAATTTTAGAGAAAGGATTAATCAATCTAATGTTAAATATCTCTGATTTTTTGTCGTTGATTGGTAAAATAATAATTTTGAGAACTGGTTTATAATTTCTTAACTTACTTCAGAAGAGTAGCTTTAAATTCAAAATAAAAAAAATCTTTTTAAAAGACTTAACAAAAATAATTAGCATCTCAAATCAGATTTAAAACCCCAGTGATTGTGGGTACCAGTGGCTAACATTTGTAATACTAGCTTTTTAGGAGGCTAAGATCTGAGGATCACAATTCAAAGCCACTCTTGGAAGACAAATCTGAGAAACGCTTATAATCTCCAACTAACCAGCAAAAAAAAACAGAAGTGGAGGTATGGCTCAATTGGTAGAATGCCAGCTGTGATCAGAAACTCAAGTAAGAGCTTAAAGCCCTGAGTTCAAGCCCATTTCTAGCACAAATCACACACAAATAAAAATCTACTGGATGAATGATTTCTCCAGTTCTCAGTCTTGTCTTTTTGTTTTGTTTTTCAGTGCTGGAGACAGAACTCAGGTCCTGTCATGACATTCTAGATAAATGTTCTACCACTAAGCTATACCCCAGGCTCCCAATTACCTTTATAGACAGTAGAAAATTAAGCAAGCCTGGAAGTATTGCCTCCAAGAACTAGAAAGTAAATGCTCTGAATGGTGAGGAGGGGAGACGTGGGAATCTATTATGTCAAACTAAACCCCCAAACCCCAAACGGAGCCATGATTTTGGGGATCATGACACAGTGGTACACTTATATTCTGATATATTTAACACCACTTAAGTCAAAGCAACTGAATCATACTGACTACCTTAAATTATGCCCATTTTTATTCTAACTAACTTCATTGTCTTTTTTTAGATGATTCATATAAATTATGGAGAGAAAAAAAAAACCTCTCCACATTGTCAATGTGGACTTAAAATTGGCATTGTATCATGTTAAATATTTTTAGAATGAGCTCTTCTTCTTTGCTACCAAAAGGCAAATAATAATCACTTGGAAACTAATTTTTAGAATTCCTATCTTACAAATGATTGAATTATTCTAACACAGGGTGTACACTGACAAAGGATCTGGGCTTGAAAGTCTAACAGACATATAATCACTTTCTATCTCTGATTCAGTGGCTTTATGAATTCATGCAAGTCATTTAACCTTTCTGTTAGACTGAGGTTCAATCTACCATACAGTGCTGATGTAAGGGTTGAATCACATAACAATGTGTGTGACCCTAGAACATGGTAGGTGTCAAGTAAATGGTAAATGGTAACTATAATTACTATTGTGACTGTGAAGTCCTTGAAAATAAGGAATGTCTTATTTATTCACCTTTGATCCCCAGTGCCAAGCAGAAGACCTGGCACCCACTAGACACATAATAAATAATTTCTGAATGAATGAAGGCACAAATGAATGAATGATGAAGATGAAGATACTCCATACTACAAGACCAGTATTTATTTACATTAAGATCTTTGGACTTTCAGGATCTCTTCATGTCAAAGATGGTCCAATAAGAACTGATTAGCTTTTAGGCAGCATACACATAGAACACAAAACTTATCAGCACATTTAACAAATGTTTGTGGAGTTTGTGCCTTTGCATCTCTGATTTCTGCTAAGATTTCCCTTGTTAAAGTCTTGTAGATGACTCCACTGAGCTAAGTGGACACCATGATGAAACCTCAATGAATCCAACCTTCTCTTCAGACTTAGCAACTGAAGGAACTTTCAAAACACTATCATTCTACAGATGACAAGTGTTCATCCTACAGATCATAAGAAAGAGAATATATATCATGTCATTTTTATTTTCCAATCCACAAAGGCTAGATTCAGTCATGCCTCATGATACATTTATTTTATGATAATATAGAGAAAGTTTCATCAGTGATGGAGGTGATTAAAAAAAACATGTTTCACATATAATTCTACCATGAATGCTGCTTTTCATGTGTCACATAACTAGTTTTGGGTTTATCTTCTTTATTTTATTCAATGATGAAATTGGATATTCTTTAACAAATCAGGATTCCTAGCCAATCAGTAACCATATAACTAATAAGGCATTTGTGGTATAAACAAAAGTGGGCGTGCTGTACCTCAGGGTGTTACATAGTAAACAACAGAGCATCACCAAGGAAGCTAACAGTATTTCAAAGAGGGAGAGGATTGCAAATTTTAAAACAATATAGAAAATTGTATCTAAAAATCAATGTAGAAGTGAAGGAAATCTTACTTGATATAGAGGAATGACTATTGGTTTCTGGTACACCTGCTTCTAATGTAGGGGCAGATGAAGATTCCCGTGGCATTTCCAAAGTTGAAAGTCCTTTAGTAGAAGGATCTATAAATGCAAATATTATTTAAAACTCAGAGCACTGATGAAAAGCAAATTCAAGAACCCTTTTCATGCCTTCTTCCCTCTTTTTTATTAAACTTATCCAGTTCCTTATATAATTTCTGGCCCTTCCACATTCTATAAAGAACTGCCACAATCTGCCACCATGGATATGTTTCTTAGAGATTAATGATAGCACAATTATAAAAGTTAAAGCTCAGAACCTTCACAGTTCATATCTTTGAATAAGCCACTCAACCTTCAGGCTTCCAAGATCCCATTTCCCTCCAAAATGCAAACCAACAGTGGATACGGTGACCCTCCTGTTTAATTACAGAACCTGTCCTTATTTTTTCCAAGCTTATCATACTAGAATGTAAGTGTAAAGTTACTTGTCTATAACTTTTACCATGCTAGAAGCAATTTCAGAGCAGAATTGCATCGAATGTGAAATAAATAAATTCACATTTTTATTTGGTTGGTTGAACACAAAACATATTGTGACATTTTTTCTATTAGACTAATGCTACATCTATGAAAAATATTTTATGCATATAATGTTGTCTTGTTAATCTATCAATAAACAGGCCAAATATAGTGGCTCATATCTATAATCCTAGCTACTACTCAGAGGTAGACTTTGGAGACCCATTTTTCAAGGCCTTAAACCCCATCTCAGTTAATAATCCAGGAGTATGGTTGCGCCTACCAGTTACCCCAGCTATATGAGAGGCCTTAGGTAGAACTGCTGCCTAAGGCTAGTGCAGGCAAAAATGTAAAACCTTACATGAAAAGTAAATAAAGCATAAGAAAGAGTATAGCTCAAGTGGTAGAGCACTTGCCTAGCATGTGCACAGCTTGAGTTCGACCCTAAATACTCCCCTCAAAGGGAGACATGCTGTCTAATGTTATTCTAGGTAACTATAGCCTATTCTTTCAAACTTCCTGTCAGTTTAGTGGTCTGTCAGAACAAACCTCCTAAAATTCTTTACAGACATTCTGGGCATCTTTACAGTGAGTATACTAAGCATCTTGATGGTTTAGAGTTACCACTGATGGCTACCATAAGTAGACTGTGCTGTAAAACAGGGCTACCTACCCTAAATGCCTTCAAGTTTTTAAACTTTAACATGATCTGTCTCATCCTGTTCATAGCGCCAATTGTTTCTACTGCCACAGAACAACTGCCATAATTCATGCACATACATAGCTCAAGTACGCTGTTCTATCACTGGAAGATCATCAAACCTCCTCAAGTGTCAGAAATGAAAGCCAAATAGATCAGGATGCAGACCTGGGAGAAAGGTTTGGAGGGATGATTTTGGAATACCTATTTTTTAATTCTTAGATGTTTGTCGATAGATGTGATTGACAGATCATTAACTTCTTGGTAACAAAAAAATGTAACTGTTGTTAAGTTTCCCAATCTCTCATAATAAAGAATAAAGTAACTCCTAATTTTCATTTAGCTAGTCATCAAGATATAAAACATTATGCATTGTTTTAGGTTTTTTTTTGGGGGGGCGGTCGTGGGGCCTGAACTCTAGGCCTGGGTGCTGTCCCTCAGCTCTTCAGCTCAAGGCTAGCCACTCTACCACTTGAGCCACAGCGCCACTTCCGGCTTTTTTCTTTTTGCTTATGTGGTGCTGAGGAATCGAACCCAGGGCCTCATGCATGCAAGGCAAGCACTCTACCACTGAGCCACTTTCCCAGCCCTGTTTTAATTTTTTTAATGTGGCAGCACTGAGGTTTGAACTCAGGGCTTCATGATTGCTAGGCAGGTATTACACACTTTGAACTACACCTCTAACCCTCTTTTGCTGTCGTTATTTTTCGGACAGGGTCTCACTTTTTGCTCAGGCCAGCCTGGACTACAATCTTCCTATTTACGTTTCCTGTTTACATCATGGGATGACACATGTACACACCACTGTGCCAAGCTATTGGTTGAGATGAGAATCTCATTAACTTTTTATCCAGACTGGCCTTCAACTGTGATCCCCCTAATCTTCACCTCTCAAGTATTAGGATTATAAGCATGTACCACTGGATGCCTGCCTATTGCGTCCTCCCCAAACCACAGGTCAAAAACTTACCTCCTAGCCTTCTCTGTCTCCATTTTATTTGTGTTGTAACTATGGTAAAATAATGTCACCAATACAAAAATGAATAAGCTTAACGCTAATTTTGAATAATTCTTTTGAAAGACTACTAAGATGTGTATAACTTTATATATCTACTTTTATATATTAAAGCTTGTAGAGTTTTCAAAATGCTTATTAAAATTCATGATATAATATTAATCTTAGAGAAACAATACTATATAGATACTTATTAGCAATCTTGAAGCTAGATAAATTATTCTCAGTTCTTCTCAGTTCTCAATTATTTGATAAATACTCTGTGTGTGAATGTGCTATTCCTGGGGTTTAAATTCAGGGTCTGGGCACCGTCCCACAGTCCCTGAGCTTTGTCACTCAAGGCTGAAGCTCTACCACTTGAGCCACAGCTCCAACTCCATATTATTTGGTAGTTAATTGAAGACAAGATTCTTACAAGTTTTCTTGCCTGGGGTGGCTTTGAACTGTGATCCCCAGATTTCAGCCTCTGAATAGCTAGGATTACAGATGTGAGCCATTGGCATCTGGCCAAAACCTTCTGTTTGCATACAGTTTAAGAAAATACTTGAACAGAATTATTCATTTGTCTTAAGATACCTGAATTCAGCATTTTTAAAGTGATCTTCACAAAAATGTAATAACTATCATTACATTCTTCAAATGTTTCCCAGCATTCTCCTAATCACTTGGGATACAATGAATAAGGGGGGAAAAGGCAAGAGCCACTGCCTTTGAGAACGTTCATTTTGTGTAGAAGTAAATAGATTATTATATGTTAGAATATCAGTTCTTTGTAGAAAAGATATCAAGATGCCAGGAAGGATGGGATAGTGCTATATAGCCTAAGGTAGGCCTTATTGTTAACTTGATGTTTGATTGGAGAGTTTTAAAAAGTGATGTAATAAGCCAAGCTGGTATTAGACCATTCCATATTGAAGGAGCAGCTGGTATAAAGGCACTAAGGTAAGAATGTGTAGGAAATATCAAAAAATAGCAAGAGGTCACTCTGGTTGAGTGAAATTGTAGGAAGAAAAGTACCAATACAGTGAGAGAGCTGAGTGCAGGAGCTATGGAGAGCATTCTAATCATTTAAAGAGCTAGAGTTATTCCTATGAAAGAAATAGGGAATCACCCGAAGGTTTTAAGAGATCAACCTAATATTGTGTTGAAAGAAATGAAGGAATAAAGGTAGAACACCTTATCAGGACCAGTTAGGAAGCTATACAGTTAAGTCAGGTAAGAAGATGCTAGTGATTTAATCCATAGTAGAAAAAGTAGATATACATGCAATAAGGTGTGATATTCTGGATGTGTTTTGAAGGTAGATTAAGGTTGTCAGAAAAATAGAGAATGCTCAGAAACATTTTAATTTCAGATGAACAATAGATATAGGTTTACTATCGTATAGTATAAGTATATCCCGTGCAATATTTAAGAGATGTAGTCCCAGTTCTTTGCTTCTCCCTCAATTGGTACCTTTTACTATGTGACTCTGAAGTTTCTCCCACTAAACAAGCAGAGTATATTTGCCTCTTGGTTTTGTTTGATTTGCTTTGTTTATAGTCATTAAAGGATGCTTGAAAAGTGCTCACAACTGAGTTTGTTCTCTGAGACTTTGCTATCACATTATAAAGAATATTCCCAGGTTTTACAGTGTCCAGGTTTTCTCATGGAAGCAAGAGAAGCGCAGCCTGGTCACCCAAGCACAGTCAGTCCCCAGTGACGAGAGGTTCCCAAATAAAATAAATGCCTACTGTTATATGCAACTGATTCTGCTAGAAAACACTCTAATTGACAGCTATCTTTGCATGTAGACAATACACAACACTGGATGAAATCATAATGAAAATGAGGAGCTACAGAAAAGAAAAAAGATCAAATATAGAAACCTGTGTACTCCCCTCATTAGGGGGACAAGGAGAAACCAATGAAAGAGATTGAGGTCGGGCGCCGGTGGCTCACGCTTATAGTCCTAGCTACTCAGGAGGCTGAGATCTAAGGATTGTAGGTCAAAACCAGTCTAGGCAGGAATGCCCATGAGACTCTTATCTCCAATTAACCAACAGAAAACTAGAAGTGGCAATGTGGCTCAAGTGGTAGAGCACTCTCCTGAGCTGAAGAATTGAGGAACAGCACCCAGGCCCAGAGATCAAACCCCATGACTCACCAAAAGAGAAAGAGAGAGACAGAGAGAGAGAGAGAGAGATTGAGGAGTGACTGAATGAGGAGTGACTGAATAAGAAACCAAAACAAATGTATAGTATCTTGGAATTCAAGTTAAAGAAGCGTGATCAACTATGTCAAATTTTATAAATATGTTAGAAAGCTAGATATAAGTGCTGACTATTTCATTTAATGATGGAGGTCCTTGGTGGCTTTGGCAAGTACACTTTTGACCGTATATGGACCTTATACTTCATAGGGATAGTTTTTAGAATACTGCTTCATAGAGATAGTTTTTAGAAAAAACAAGATAGGACTGGCTACTTTGCTTAATGAGATTTTTTTCCAAGTCCTTCCAATTCCTTGTACATGGGCAATGTCATTCTGATGGAGGCATAGAATCCCATTGTGTATTCAAACCACATTTTCTTTTTTTTGGGGGGGGGTCCAGTCATGGGCCTGAACTCTGGGCCTGGGCGCTGTTCCTCAGCTCTTCAGCTCAAGGCTAGAGCTCTATCACTTGAGCCACAGCACCCCTTCTGGGTTTTTTTCTGCTTATGTGGTGCTGAGGAATTGAACCCAGGGCCTCATGCATGCAAGGCAAGCACTCTACCACTGAGCCACCTTCCCAGCCCCAAACCACATTTTCTTGATCCATTCATCCAGTGAGGAAATCAGGTTGATTCCATATCTTAGTTATGGTAAATAATGCTGCAATAAACATGTTTGTGCAGGTGGCTTTAGTGAGGGCTAGTTTGTGGTCATTGGGGTAAATTCCTACGACTAGGATTGCAGGATCATAGGGAAGCTCTATGTGTAGTCTTTTGAGGAACTTCCATGCTGCTTTCCAGTGGATAAACAAGTTTACATTCCCACCAACAGTATAGTAGTGTTCCCTGTTGGCCACATCTCCACCAGTATCTGCTATTATTAGTTTTCTTGATAATGGCCATTCTTACTGGAGTGAGGTAACATCTCAATGTTGTTTTGATTTGCATTTCTTTTATGGCTAGAGATAGTGTCCCTCATTTGCAATAACCACAATATATCTATAAACCTACAAGTTAATCCAATGGATAATAAAAGACAAATAATTACACTTACACATGATTAACTAAACAGTACTCTAAGCATTCACACAATGAAAGCAAAGGAGTATATTCTTAGGAGAGGATCACAATGGCTCAATAGGTATGTGTGTATGACCATATAAAATGATGCTTTCTGAAATGAATTCCAAGAAATGGAAACAAGAGGTTTTTCATTGTTCTGTTTGCCATTATTTATTTTTTTCTTTCTTTTTTTTCCTTTAGTTTATTCCCTTTTGTCACTGTTTTTGGTTTCTGTACCCTTTGTCTTATACATGAGTGTATCTGATTTGGGGAGGGGAAGGGAAATCACGGAAATGGTGGGACAAAGAGTAAACCAATTCAGCAGTGATACTCACTAGACACTATGTTGGAAATTAACTTTATAACCTGGCAGGGAGGGTGGTCAGGTGGGAAAAAAGTGGGAGATAATGAAGGAGAGGGTCACACTGTTCAAAAAGAAATGTACTCATTACCTGATTTATATAACTGTAACCCCTCTGTACATCACTTTTACAATAAAATTTAAATTAAAAAACATAATGGGAGAAAATTAGAGATAATAATAAGAACACTTTTTAATGTAAAAAATGCAACATGCTCAAATCAGAGAACAAAAATTGTTATGGGGCTTGATCCTGGCATAGGTAAGAACAATGATATCTCAGTTGGAAACATAGCCAGGAAAGCAGGGAGTATATGTCCAAATGCTAAAAGACAGCCAGAGGAGGGGGTAGAAAGTTATGGATGACGTCAGGTGGATTTATTAAAAGTTTTGGGAGAAAAGAAGCTATAAAACAATCATGTAGCAGAATGGAAATATGGATCTGGAAAATATGGTATGATTACCAAGTAGCTTTAAGGATCCAGTTAAGGCTTACACCATATATTTCAAATAAGGCAGCTTCATTCTATGGTTTTATCTAGTCACATTAATCTGATAGGAACAAGTACAAATAAATGGAGAGTTTAATTTAGCAAGGACTGTGTTTAGTCAAGCAAAGCTAAAAAAGCAAAAGCTACAGAGGATAAAGGCAGGGACAGATTATACCAGTAGATATGAATTTAGGTGAGCAGGGAGAGAAGACATGAAGTAGGAGACAATGAACAACAGTAGGATTAATAAGCATTGTCCTGAGATAGACTGAGGTAGGGGTAATAAGAAGATCTATGATATAACCATGGAAATGAGTGGTTAAGCTAAGGTAGAGGATCACATGAAAACAAAACATAATCATTGGAGAAGATGAATTCAGGGAACTGGGAAATGAGTGAGATGGTCAGAAGAGTCATCAAAAGAACTTAGGCAGGAATAAGTTTGAAAAGAAAAAAAAAAGATCCAGAATTCTATTTCCTGGTTATTTCATATTTGCTAGCAAATGAGAGAGGGGGATTGGTGTAACAATGAGACTTTGAATATCAAGGTTTAATAACACAAGATTCGGAGCTGAATATGTGTGTGTTATAGCTAAAGAGGGAAAGGCCTACGAGGAGCAATGATGAGTAAGGAAGACATCTACATGGACTGTTGCGAATGTTGTGACCTTGAGGAAAGCCAGGCTTCTATCAGTCTATAAAATCCAAGGAAATAATTACAAAAGCAAGAAAACATATAAGGTATTTTGCTCATGAAAGACCTTGACTTTCTGAGGACGCAGATACAGTTTCTGGGGTCAATCAAGGTTGAGACACACAACGGATGTGCAGGGTTTACAGAAATTTGAGTCATGGAGCTAAACAGCCTAACATCCTATGATTTGTCAGCAGGACTAATACTATCAGAATGTACACAGTAAGAGGAGTCTTGAGCTCAAGACAATTAGTGGGATCAAGGCTGTGAGTTTAGAGAGATTAGAATGGACAGGTGTCTGGGCTTCCTTTGCTCTTGCTGAGAGAGTCAAGAAAGCCTGGGAAGCCTGAGTAAAGCAATGCTCTGAGTCCACAGGCCTCCTCCACTGTCCAGAAGGAAAGCGTAGATATATGCCTCTTTAGGAGGAGAAGTGTTATGGACATACATTTCTTCAAACTAATTTTCATGTTTATTTCTTGTGGGGAACAGGGAAGTCTCTATATTCAAAGTATCCAGGAAAGACAGGCTCTGTTGGTAACTCTGAAGAACTATGAACAGTTTTCTTATTAGCGCTCAGCAGCTTTTTTCTGAGCAATATGGTAGGAGAGTAAAGGAGTTAACTGATGCATTGTCTATAATAAAAATAATCCCAGTTCCTGAAAAAGTCTGAGACAAAAATTACTATGATCATAGAGAATGTATTATAAAAAATTTGAATACATCTTGTCATTACTCTGAGACACATTTCTTTTGTGTGGTTTCAAATATATGAATGCAAAACTAGTTCCTTCCCTGGTAGCCTGGGAAATAATCAGATGTAAGAATGAATAAAGAAGACCACACATGTACATATAAACATATGTACTATGACCTATATCGTCTCTCTATCTTTGTCTATATTTATATCTACATCTATGTATCTACCTCATTCAAATACCCATCCATTATTCCTCTATAGTTTCTAGGCCAATGTTTTATTCTATTCTTATGCAGCAAGTTTCCTAACTTCTAAAAAGGTGCCCTCATTTCCCTTGAAACCTTCTTAATTTCTTAAGCTTCCTTAACAAGATCTTTTTTTCCCTGCCTGGCTGAGCATGACCTTTCTAAATACATTGATGTTCAGTCAATACATTTTTCCAGAGCAACTTTAAGGTATGAATCTCTGTCTTATGGGACCTGTTAGAAACGTGTGAGGAAAATTTAAAAGCCCAAGCACATTCTCTGAGAACTTGCTTTTGGGTGTAGTAGTGGGGAAAAAGTACTACTAGAATTGAGAGACTACTCCTGGCGCTGTTTCTGTCCAGCCATGTGACCTAGTATAAGGTACATCACTTCCTCTATGCCTCAGAATCTTCTCACAAATAAAGAGACGTAGGCTGGCGGTCTCTAAGATCTTTGCTAGTTTCTCAATGTTCTCTAGTCAACAAATATACTAAAATAACTGTCACTGGCCAATTCTATTTTTTCCTGAAGTATCGCATCATCATTACTACCACTATCATCATTGCTTAGATTTGAGTGAAGAAAGGAACTGTGTATTCTAACCAGCACTGCAAAACTACAGTCAAGTGTATTTCAGAATAAGATGCACCATTAGCTTCCTACTTTTTAAGGGTTATCTTCTTAGATATAATGCCTCCAAGAAAATATAGAAAATTGACTCTTGAGGGAGCAAACCCATGTACTGTGACAATTTTACCATGAACTGGTAATTTTTGGCTTCTAATATTTGCTAGTATCAATAATCAGCTGTAGTTTTCTAAATGATTATACAGTTGGTTCTTAGTCATTCTAAGCACTCTGCTTCTCCAGATTTGTTCTTCCTCCCTTGGATTATATCACAGCTTACTAAACCAGAACAGAAAAAATAGCAAAAAAAAGAGTTCCAATTAATTACTTTTTCCATTTGAGAAAATCTAATGTTATATTTGGAATATTCTAGTATCAACCAATCATTGTCTATTATTGCCAACAGGGGTCAAGAACTGACTGTTAAGTTTAGAAACAACCAACACAGACACATTTATGAAGCTAGTAAAACCACATCTGATTCTGCCATACTCTGGTAAGCAGGAAGAATTCAGAGAGGTTATGAAGCAGCTATAATGTCAAATTCTGACATTATAAGATTTTGAATTTGATGCGTATTTGGTGCTCAAACCCTAGCAAGTAAGATTCACAAACCTGAAAGTAAAGACAGAAGAAAGAAAAGAGATGGGCTCACCTGGATCTTTCTGTTCTCCTAGTTTGTCTAGAATGTTGAAAGAAATGTCGAGGTACTCTCTCTGAATAGCACTGACAGCAATCTTTCTCTGTTTCCTCTGCCGGGGAACAATTTGAATCTTAAATTCTGATTCCTCGGTTCCATCCTCCTCCACTTTCCTATCCAGGTTCTGCTCTGTATCAGACTCGGCACTTGTGTCGGGCTTCTCACTTTCTATAGGATTCTCAGCATCTTCAGGAACTTTGAGGAGGACAGTTTTTGCCCCTGAACTTGGCATCTGCCCAGGCTTTTCTTCCTCAGTGCCAGGGTCAGGGCTATCATCCATTGACACCTCAGGGACAGCAAACGACTTCTGAAGGAGGTCTCGCTTTTGCTTAAGTGTTAGTGGACTGCCACAGGAAAGCTCTCGCAGCTCCTCCGGCTTTGATAACTCCTCCGAGTCTGTAGGATCTCCCAGGGCTATGAGAGCAGAGTCGTCGTTGCCTGCTGACTGGCTATTTCCTGAGTCCTTAGAAGAAAAGTCTTTGGAACAGTCCTCCACACTGACTTGCACAAGAGGAGCTGTGCTCAGGCTGAGGACGGAGGGGTGGCTGGGGATGGAGGGAGAAGAAGCAGCATTTTTACCTGAGGGACCACCATTTCCTTGCTTCGTGGTCTCCTCTTCTTCATCGCTCTCCACTATTCTAAGAGGTGGAAGAGGCTCAAATACAAGAGAGTCACTGTCAGATGTTGAGAGTATAGAGTGTTTTTCTGGCCCAGATGTTGAATCTGAGGACAAATCTATCAGATCTAAATCCTCTTTAGGAGCAGGCTTTACTGGGGAGTCAACTTTCACCTCAAATGTCTCCATGCAGTTTAACCTAACTTCTGGAATTACAGGCCTTCGAGTTTCTTGAAAACCTTCCATAGGTCGATTCTCAGGGATCTCTAAATTGTCAGGCCTCGTAGCAGAATTCTGTCTAGAACGTCCATGGGCGTGGTCGTTTGGTCTTTGTGTGATGTGAGTTGCGTGGGCAGGAGGCTTATCTATGTCACACCGATCTATGCAAGACTTTCTACGATGCTCATCTAATGTAAACAAGAGGGAGTCTGCATTCCCTATATCAAGAGATTTTTGTTTGAAAGAGCGCAGTTTTTTTTTCTGAATGCTTTCTTCTCTCACACAGTGTAGAATGCTGTCTTGTAATGCACCCGTTTCTCTATATTCAGCCAGTTCTATTTCACCTGATTAAAACAGAAAAAGCTAGTACTATTTTACTTGGAGATTTCACCATTTTTTCCCCTCAAACTTGGGCAACTATTGGCATAAACCATAATCACAATCCCAGCTCCACCAGAAGGGAAAACTGACTTTGTGGCCAAGTTTTCATAAGGTTTAATCTAATGTCATAAGCTGGAAAACTTTGGACAGAAAGAAACCAAACCAGCAAGATTATGATCTGATTTCCAAAAATCAAGGTTAATTCCTCAGCTCTATTCATTTGTGCACAGAGGAATTTTTTTTTTTGGCTGAGGCAGATCTAGAAACCTGTATTCAAATTGTGTGGAAGAGAAGCAAACATTTTTGCAACAAATCAAATCAAGCAATGGCCCTTGAAGACGATCATGACGTTAATGATGTATCTGTAAATTCACGTATATATATATAAATGAGTATATATATACTGTTTGTGCATACATATATATAAAAATCAACGATATCAAAATATGTAGTAACATAATAAAATTAAGATTTCACCCCAAACAAACAGTAGAGTACAACATTTCTGCATAAAATTACTAAGAGAAAAAATTCATACTTCTCTGAACATTCATCTCAACCGGCTGATATTTCACCATTTTGCTGCCGCCTATCCTTTTCAATCTTGCAAAAAAAGTTTGAGACTCTTTATTGCAGGGTCCAGTAGGTGTATCATGAATATCAGATTCATCAAAAACACTATCTTCTTCTAATTGGGGAGAGAAAGTCAAAATTACACTTAAGAGGTTATTCTCTCTTAGGCTGTGTCTATACAAGCATTTCAGTGAAAGCATTCTGGAATCAACTGAGGTGGTTTCTCCACCAGCCAAACCTAACTACAGGGCTAATATTCCTATGTCAGACAGAATAATCTGTAACAAGATTGCCAGTATTTTCAATGCGACAGTTGGCAGCATTTTTGAGAGGCATCTCAATATTCAAATAGAACCCTCTTTGGGAAAACTTTTCCCAGCGTATACTACATTAAGATCCAATGGCACACAAATAGCAGCTACTTTGTCCAGGAGTCTGTTATACTGCTTGGAACACGACTCTTATCTCAAATGGACTTTCAGGCTAATTTGGCAACAAGAAATTAGACAACAGGAGTAGTTCTTGACTTTCCAAAATTGTATATTCTTTCCTGGGAATTAGGAACTGGCATAGACACAGCCTAACAGTACATTCACCTTATACTCTGTGAATGCAAAATACTGTACTCTACATTTGATAATGAAACACACAACACACAGAAAAAGCTCAGAAAAGCCTCTCATCATTTCAGAAGCTCCACAAATGATTATGGACGGAAAAATTAAACAAAGAAAAAGGAAACAGAAAGTAACACTTCTTCCTATTAAAGTAAGACTCTTTTTCTTAGATATTGACACTATTCAACAACTATTACGGATCTCATGAACCCTAGAAAATATCTTTGAATCTTATGATTTTTTTGTTTATTCATTTAAAAATATTTTTATTATCTTTAAATAGTCGTGCAAAAGGGTTTCAACTCAACATGCCAATTCATGACTCTTAAGGTTTTAAGTATCCATAAACAAATGGACAACTTATGCCTATTAAGTTTATTTCAATGTTCTTCTTCTACCTCCATTTGGCCACTTCTAATCAACCCAGAATACAATGATAAGGAAACAAGTAGTATGTCACAACGCAAACAACTTAGTTTACAAATTTTCTTCTTTCATCCCTTTGAACGGCCAAAGCCATACACAAAGTAACAAAAAAAAAGCTGTTTAAATACACTGAATATCACTATAAAAAGAATTAGTACACTATTTCTGTGAATATTACAGAAATAATACTATTTCACATATATGTATATATATATACACACACCTATACATGGCAAGATGAAAATTAGGAATGATTATGATTATTCAACATTTCTTAGATGTAGGGGAATAGAGACACTAGGGTTTAAAAAAAATTGTACATGCCAGTCCTGGAGCTTGAACTCATGGTCTGGGTGCTGTCCTTGAGCTTTTTTGCTCAAGGCTAGCACTCTACCACTTGAACTGCCCTCCACTTCTGGTTTTTTTAAATAGTGTAATGGAGATAAGAGTCTTATAGACTTTCTTGCCCAGTCTGGCTTCAAACCATGATCCTCAGATCGCAGCTTCCTGAGTAGCTAGGATTACAGGCATGAGCCACGGGCACCTGTGTTAAGTACTAGTTTTAAGAAACTTTTGTTTCTTAAGAAAGTTTTAAGAAACTTTTGAAGCAGTACATTTTATTTCGATGGTACTGGTGTTTAAATTCAGACAGGTGCTCTAGTGCGGTGCCATGCCTCCAGCCCTGCCAGTAAAGTTTAAATGATATAGCCATAGTATTTTTGTTAGGCAAATAAAAAAAATGTTAACAATCAGAATGGATAAAAAGCTCCCAGTGAAATTCCCACAAGGATGGGGAAGCCCATCAAATTCCCATGCCTCTGGGGGAAAGCATTCTCCTTTAAAAGATAAGTTTCTGAACCAATTGCTCTAATGACTTCTATTATATAACTTTGGGAAGTTTTCAGAATGTGCTGTGCTGTGTGATAGAAACAGGAGAAGAGCAAGATGGCACCACCCCTCCAGGAAGGTCATCTGTGCCAGGCCCAGACACTGAACGTACATTGACAGCATTTGTGGTTCAACTGAACCCACCCAGTTTTCCAGAGACCTATGCTGATGGGTAAGGTATTATTTTCAGGAAGGATCTGAATAGTACCACAACTTAGTCTAGTTTTGAGATTTTTGTCTGAAGCCAACTTATATTCTTAGATATTTGAGTAACAAAAATAGTAGAGCACGGGCAACAATCCATCTTACGGAGCTATTTCTAGAGCAGTCTCACCAATGCAGACTGTACTAACTCCACAGAGTGTCACTAGACCTTGATCTTCCTCCTAGGATTACATTAGATGGCGTCTTCTATAATTCTAATAGATACACCTTAGTTCTTCATCTCTCACCTGAAAACATCCAGACTGTAATTTTGCTATATTTTATATTCCATTATACTTTTCACATTTATAGAAAGGCTATCAACAGAAAATGTGTCAATATGGGGAATAATTCATACTTGTGCACTAAGAATATGTCATTTCCTTGAATTGCTTCATATTGAATAGTAAGGTTAGATAAAAGCATTTAACCCTCAAGTGATGATTCCATTGACTGCCAATCAAGATTTACATTATAACCCAAAATCAAGATGTTTACAATATGGAAGAGAAAGTCTACAAAAGCTATTTTATCAATTGGTAGGAAATGCTTTTACCTAGTATTATTTCTATGATATATGTGTTAGAAGGCCCAAATAATTTCTCAAGCGCTCAATTAAAAAGTTAAAGGGGTAATATTCATGGGAAAGATGAACAAAATAGTGTTTTTTTTCCCATAATGATATATAGGGTACTCAAGCTAGGTCTGGAATAGAAAAGTACCTTTTTCTTTTTCACTGTATCTGCTTATGTTACTGTTGTCACTGTACAGAGGTCCTGCCGTGGCATGGGGCTTGCAGCTGTGATACTGTGCATTGAGGGTATTGACCGTTATGTGAATCAGATGCAGCAGGATCTTGCTGATATCACAGTCTCGGTATGGATACTGCTCAATAAAATGGAAGGAGAGGAAAATACAAATGGTTATTTTAAAGAATAAGCTTTTCCAGTTGATCTTGCTGGATATGTTTTCTTGATATCATTTGAACATAAAAAAGAATGTATAAACAAGTAAAAACATAGATTCTGAGATCATAGCCTTGTTTTTACAAAGGACCATACTTTCTTCCTCCTGCATCTACCACTGACAGCAACGTAATTCAGTTTTCAGCTACAACTGCCTTCCAGAATATTAGCAGGCATAAATATGTTTAAATATCTTCCTTGTTTTCTGATGTAATAATTAGTAATATTTAGATAAAATATGAGATTCTGAGAATAGGGGTTACTTCATTATTTAAAAAAATGTTTTTAGAGCATTATATTGACATCGCCTGCTATTTTACTTTCATTCCGATACCCTTTTGTTTCTTGGCACTAACTGCATATCATGATCCCTCCTTAGAAGACCCAATTTTATATATTTTTTATTGTAAAGATATTGTAGGGAGGGGTTACAGTTACATATGCAAAGTAATGAGTCCATTTCTTATCAAGCATTGTAGAAGATCAAATTTTTGTACTACAAAATTCTCAAAACTCAGATATCGTCCTGAAGCTATACTCCTAAGAGAACTCAAAAAGGGGTTGTAGCCACTCACTTTGTAAAGGATGACGAGCAAGGCCTTTAGCCACATTTGCCGGATGTGAGGTTTTAGGGACCAGAGGGAACAACGAGGTGGCTGTTGGAAATAATGCCGTAGTTGAGGACAAGAGCAGTATTTGAGCACCTGAACCACCAAGGGGAGAAGGTGTTTTCCCAAGTTAATGTTATAGTCCATAACCTGAAATAGAAAGAATATTAGTAACTGAAAGAAAACAGCAAGAACACTCAGAAATCAAAAGGAAACATTTGAATCATCACAGGAAGCCATATTTAATAGACAAAATTTTTACAGGCATCTCATGAAACGTTAACAGTACTAACCAGGATTATTTTAAACTTGTCAGAAAGTTTTAAAAACTTACTACTGAAAGTTTTTATCTCTTATCTATTTATTCCATCACCTGTTGAGGATAAAATGAACTAGTTAACTATTAACTAGAATTAAAGTAGTCTCAATGTAGAAAATAAGTCATCTTGATCACTATGTAGGAAAATGTCCTTTTTTTTTTTTTTTTGGTCCGTCATGAGAGCTGAACTCTGGCCCTGGTGCTGTCCCTCAGCTCTTCAGCTCAAGGCTAGCACTCTACCACTTGAGCCACAGCACCACTTCCAGCTTTTTTTCTGCTTATGTGGTGCTGAGGAATTGAACCCAGGGCCTCACACATGCAAGACAAGCACTCTACCACTGAGTCAACTCCCCAACCCAAAAATGTCATTTCTTAGACACTACTAGCAAGACTTTAACTTGCACAGTCTTTCTGGAGAGCAATTTAGCAATATGTATTTGGAAATAAGAAAAAGCATACAACCCCCAATACAGAAATTAAATATATTCTAAAAAATGAGGTAAGTATTCTAAAATGGATGTATAAAGATACTAAACATGGCTTTGTTCTCATACACTGAAAATAATCTCTATATACAACAAAATGAAATTTAAAAATATTATTTGTACAACAGAACACTTTGTAGTAAGAACATTAAGCAGAAGACTTAAGTTTGTATATAGGAACTTCATAATAATTTTCAACTTTATATAGGCTATATATAAATCAGTACATATAATTATTATTTTTCCAGTATGTAGGTTCATATATTCACATGTGGACATGAATGCATGATATTTGGAAGGAGCAATATATACCAAAATGTTATTTTTGTTATATTTTCTGGTGTTTTAAGGTTTCTTTGCTGACTCTATTTCTTTTCTTTGTGAATTTTGTTCTTTAGCCTTCTCTCCACCTGCTGTTTGGTACTCACTCTCCAACAGCGCTTATTTTTCCTTTCCATTCTTTTTTTTCATTTTTTATTATGTATATAATGTACAAATAGTTTCCCCATGGTTTTTCTGAGGTACATTTGCTATAATTTAGTCAGGTAAGCTCTTCTATCGCTCTCTCCTTACCCTCTCAACTTTCAGTACATTTCATTATGCCCTCTTCATAGTCACAATGTAGTGTAATTATTTATTATGTAGTCCAATTAAACATTCTTTATCATTCTTTCTTTTTTATTATATTTCTAAAGTAAACATCCACAATATCAATTCAGAGAAGGGGGAGCAAAAAGTAAAGCTTATAAACTAAAATAGCATATTTGGCTTCATAATACACAGGTAAGTATTAATAGTGATCCATGCAGTTATCAACATCAGCTAGAGATAACTCTATGCATAGTTTGCTTATGTTTTTCATTATACTACAATATATTTGAGCAAATAAATAATAATAGCTATTGTTTATTGAGTTCCTACCATAGAGAAGCTCTGATAAAGCTTAATTTCAATACATTAATTCTAATAATAATGAGAGAAATGAAAAACTTATATATGGTGGCTCATGCCTATAACCCTAGGAACTAATGAAGCTGAGATCTAAGGATCACAATTTGAAGCTAGCTTAGGCAACTAAGTCCATAAGACTCTTATCTCCAATTAAGCACACAAAAAAATCCAGAAGTGGAGCATAGCTCACGAGGTAAAGTGTTAGAGCAGCTCAGGGACAGCACCTAAGACCTGAGTTCAAGACCCAGGACCACCACACACAAGAAAAGGAAGAAAGAAAGAAGGAAGGAAGTGGCACTGTGGCTCAAGTGGTAGAGCACTAGCGTTGAGCAAAAGCAGCTCAGGGACAGTTCTAGGGTCTGAGTTCAAGTCCCAGGACTGGCAAAAAAAAGAAAAGAAAAAAAAGTAAAAGAAAGAAAGAGAGAGAGAGAGAGAAAGAGAGGGAGAGAGAGAGGGAGGGAGGGAGGGGGAATGAGGGAGGGAGGGAGAGAAGGAGGGAAGGAGAGAGGGGGAGAGAAAGAAAGAAAGAGGGAGGGACAGAAAGAAAGGAGAGAAAGAGAGACAAAGGGAAACAGAGAGAAAGAGAAGTGAAGGAAGGAAAGAAGGAGGAAGGAAGGGAAAGAAAAAAGAAAGAAAGAGAAAAAAGGAAAGAAAGAGGGAGAGAGAAAGAAAGAAAAGAGAGAAAGAGAAAGAGGGAAAGAAAGAAAGAAAGAAGTAAGTGAGGAAGGAAGGAAGGAAGGAAGGAAGAGAGGAAGGAACCTTATGTTATTTATAGACAAACAAGCAGAGGATGCTAATGCTATAAGAGCTAATTACAATTAAAATTAGAAATTCACATTCTCATCTTTCTATCCCCAAGACCTTATCTTTGCAGATTGCTGCAGTCAATCTAAAGAGTAAGAGATGCAGCACTGATCAAATTCAGCATGAGTACATGATCCAGCAATTCTGCCTGGATTCACACCCCAAAGGAATTCTCACAGTAACCAATAAGGTATGATATACATGGATGTTCATTGCAAAGCTGTTTGGGGTAGTAAAAAATTGAAGCAATATGATTGTCCATCATTAAAGGAATGAAACTAAAGTATGAAAAATGTATACGATGGTATATGATACAGAAGTTAGAAATGCATATAAATATGAACACATGCAATGATGTTAGTGTGGCATGAAATCAAGTTATATTGATTAACTCAACTGTCTGCATTTCAAGCCAGAAAAGAAAAAAAATTTTATATGCTGTTATTGTTTAACCAATGCAGAGAATTTTAGTTTACGATGATGAAAAAGGTCTAGAGATGAATGATTATACAACATGAATGTTCTTAATGCCACTGAATTGTGTACTTAAAATGGTCAAATTTTATTTTTCATGTATTTTATAAACACACACACACACACATTCCCTTATGATAGCAAGTGACTAATTCTTATTCAGCTTTCTAGTCCTCTCTATGTATCCTTGCCTAATACCAAGTAATTTGGGCACTTAACATTGGCTGAACAGAATATAATGCCTTGCTTTTATGGAAACCCATGGTGTGACCTCTGAAAGCTGTTATTACACTTACTTGGGCAATTCCTGCAATAAATGCATTAAAGCAAGTTGACAGGCGCATTTTCTGAGGTGCAATCATGAAGCAACCTTCCTGTTGGTCATAGCCAAGTAAGACATATAAGTGCCGCTTGACCGTGTTAAAGGCCTTTGCACTGCTGATGTCTGACTCAGCACTGCTCTCGTCCTTGGCCATGAACTTCATGAGCACTGTAATCAGCTGATGAACTGTCTGGTGGTCGATCCCAGCATCTTCTGGGAGCAGGTCCTTGATGGTGTTGTCATTCTCAGGAGATTGTTGTCCTGTCAGTACAAGGAATACGGTCAGTGGGTAATTCTTCCACACCTGAGTTTACACTAAAGTCTCACTTGACACTGACAAAAGCACAATTCTTTCTGCTCCTACTAAATATTTAAAAATTCTATTTTAGACAAGAAACTTATAAAGGCACAGAGTAAAGGCTCCTAAGCAAAACACCAGTTCAGGGGTAGAAGTTACTATGTCATTAGTGCCAAATTACTTGGGAGTAAGGAAATGGAAATATAAACAAGAAACTATAAAGATGTTATCCTCAAACTATAAGATGACTAAGTAAACTTTGGATTTAGCGATTTTAAATATATTGGAAAAGTTTTATTCTCAGTGGAAAAGAGACATTTCCTTTCCATATTTGTAAAATAAGCATCCAAGAATTACTCCAAAAAATAGTAGTCTGAACCCACTGAGCATAAAAGTAATCCACTGGGTTACTTTGTTTAAATTATTATTTCAACTCACTCATGCTCATGATCAGCTGGTGTAAAAAAAATTTTCCCCAAATCTTGAGATTCAGGAATGTCTACTCTGTGAATGAGGTAGTCAAAAATTATAAGAAGCAAATTATAAGTGCTTTAATATGAAATGAGAAACATATGAGGGGAAGGGAGACAAACAGGATAAAGAAAGAAATGCATGAACTTTTAAAAACAGAAAACACCACATGAAGGTGAACTGAAAGTTCACATGAAAATAAAATACTTTCACCCTTTCCCTTAACCTATCTGAGCCTACCCTTTCCCTTAACCCTGAAACTGACTTCCTTGTTATTTTTCAAAGTCAATGCTGTATCCTGTCTTCCTTTGTTCTCCTACCCCTTGTGATCAGGTGTGGTTTAGTACTTTTAGGGAAGGAAGAGTGATATTTGTTCTGTATTTATATCTGGGGGCTTATTCAAAATACTTTGCATTCTACTCCTTTTGAAAAGCAACATTAGAATATCTAAACTGGAAATTAAGTTTTTGTCTGGTAGGTAAGAGCAGGACACTGGCATTTCATCTCTCATGATACAGGGAAAAGTTCTAAATGCTAATAAACTTTGGTTACAAAACTTTTAACAACCCAGCTTTGATTATATTCCTTATAATTATGATATAAATGATGCAACAAAAAGTTAGCAATTTATACTCATGAACTTCTCAGTTCATTTGGAAAAAAAATATCTTAGTCTTATAGGACACAGAAGCAAGATATATAAGATATATGTCTCTGTACTGCAGCAATAAGCTGTCTGAAGCCCATTTTTTCTCTGAAACTAATTAGCCTGAAGGTCATGTCAAATTCAGAATTTACTAGTTAAGACCTGCATATATTATGACAAGTGATATACCAAGAAGAAACTGTAGACAGTGAGTAAAAAGGTAGCAGAACCAACTTGCTCTGAGAGCTCCTCACATGGGAAAACATTTTTCATTCTAGGACATTAACATTTTCTGTCTCTCTAAAGCTGACCATGGAGGAATGAATATGTACAATGTACTTCAGAGAAATTTTTTTACCAAAAATTATTCCAAAGGACTTGTTTATTACAGTGTACCACATGCAGAGAGTGATCAATAAGTTAATAATATTATTTACTAGGGATGCATCTGAAATCAATTTATGTGGAACATCATATTTCAGTGACAGGCTAGATATGTGAAACATCCTGTGTGGTACAGTTAAATATTTGTAACACAGGATTTGGTCAAAAGCAATGATTATATAAATCCCTATAAAAACAAAGAAAAGTTTAGAGAACTATCTCTTCATCATTGAAAAAGATTATTTTTACAATTTGAAGGACATTATTGCTTCAGGACAGTTTGATCCAAAATGTGACAAGTGTTCTCTACGGGGTCCAATGTCATTATAGCAGCAAATGATAACTGTTACAACATAGCTTCAACATAATTCCTTTTAGCTCTGGGATGCAAGACTCAGGAGAATATTTATCGTTCAAGTCTGTCTGGCTCCTCCAAATATGAACTAACTTGTTTAGTGGGAATATGTCAGAGGGAGTGGCATCTTTGACGCCTAGTTCTAAACATCTAGGGACTTTGATATAGAGGAAAGAAGCTCCCAGTGAGGGCTGTACTATCATTTCACTCTATCACAGGCCAAATCTACAAAATAAGCCATCAGATTTTAGCTTCACTATTCCAAACCTCTCCTTGCCATTTCAAGCGGGCATGTTTTAAAAAGTGTGTAAACCTTAAGTTTTCCCAGCAAATCATATTGTCTTATCGGAGAGAGGAGGCTTCATTTCATATATAGCCTCATCTCACTGAGGATTCATATTGGTCTTTGGTACTTTAAGGGGAAGTTTGCTGCTTCTTTTGCTTTTCCTGAACAATCAGTAGTGAGAAACCATTAACTGCTCTGAAAAAAACCTAATTAATAGACTATTAACTTTTTGCATAACATAAAAGTCCAATAATTTGCCCCTTCCACTGTAGGATTTGCAGTCGTGTACTTTATTAACTTTTTAAAAACTACAGTATACTTATGACTGGTATACTCTTAAGAAAGAAAAGTTACCTAAGTCCTATAAAAAATGAGCTATGGATATGCTGAAATGTTGTTCACTGATAAGGATAAAGTTCATATGCTAGTTATCTATAAAAGCTATTAAATCTTCATTTAAAAACTAAATGCGTAAAGTATTTTCTCTAAGGAATGACAAATAGTAGTTTCAAATTCTAGCCCATGCATTTCCTTTACTTTTCTTAACCATAGCAATATAACATGTTATGGAGTTTGACCCTATTATTTCAATAATGAAAACTGCAGGCATTTTTATAATCATGGAGGCAGGGTTTTTCCTACAATGACTTTAGTGTATATAGAGTTGGAAAACTGAAACTCCAAAGTTGAATACAATGGTAAAGATTCAAATAATTTGAAACCAGGCAGGATCAGGATCTGCTTTTCCAGACTTATCCCCTGGTACTCCACAAAGAATGTTCTACATTCCCATGAGCTGGTCTATGATGTATCTCAGAACAGACCACTCGGATGGACCAGTGGTCCATCTTCACGTGTCTGCTCATGGCCTGCTTCACCATTCACGGCGGACCCTTGGTCCCATCTCCTTAATTCTATGCTGTGGATTTGGACCCCAGAAGCCATTTTTCTTTTTTTTTCTTTTTCTTTTTTTTTCTTTTTTTTTTGGGTCCAGTCATGGGGCCTGAACTCTAGGCCTGGGCGCTGTCCCTCAGCTCTTCAGCTCAAGGCTAGCACTCTACCACTTGAACCACAGCGCTACTTCCGGCTTTTTTCTTTTTGCTTATGTGAGGCTGAGGAATCGAACCCAGGGCCTCATGCATGCAAGGCAAGCACTCTACCACTGAGCCACCCTCCCAGCCCTCCATTTTTCTTATATATGTCCACTCTCTCCTCAGTACTGATGTGAACTCTAAATTCTTATACTTACCAAAGAAAAGAGAAGGATGGGCAGGAGAAAGAGAATGATAGAGAAAATTTTCTCTAGTATTTTCTAACATTCATATGGCAAATAATTACTATGCAAGACAGAACTTTTTATGTATGTTTTCGTTCCTCCCCATAAGAATTTATAGTCCTTAGCCGGGCGCCAGTGGCTCACGCCTGTAATCCTAGCTACTCAGGAGGCTGAGATCTGAGAATCACAGTTCAAAGCCTGCCCAGGCAGGAAAGTTCTTGAGACTCTTATCTCCAATAAACCGTTAGAAAACCGGAAGTGGTGCTATGGCTCAAGTGGTAGAGTGCTCGCCTTGAGCTGAAGAGCACAGGGACAGTGCCCAAGCCCAGAGTTCAAGCCCCACGACTGACAAAAAAAAAAGTGTGTGTGTGTGTGTGTGT